TGGGTGTTCGATTCGCCGAGCAAGTTGTTCGGTTCTAACCCACTTACAAGGCCCCCGTTCAGTGGGTTTGACCTTGGTATTGCGGCGTTACACCCCAAATGGCAAACCACTTTCAAACTGGGCCGAACGTCAAGTAAGAATCTTGAAACCTCAAAAGGAATTCTATTGAGACTCAAATCCTTTCAATGGAAACTCTGACCCCTCCAATGGAGGGTCTCATGATGCTGGGGGTGGTAAGCTTTAGCAAAGCTCCACAAGTATTTGGACATGTCCGGAGACCTCAATGGAACTACGGTTTTGGATTCCTTCGGGGTGGATGCTGAAAAGGGGGCACCTGACTCCATGGTCATCATCACTGCTGGCCAACATGTCTACTAAGAATATCTAAGGATTTGCTTCACCATGCACAAAACACCAAAGAAACAAGTGGATTTGACTCTGACCCAAAAAGGAAACTGAGCAGCACCGAACACCTGCTGAGATTTGATTCTACCGATACGATGTAAACACATATTCATGTAGGTCTTGCAACCCTCACAGCGAGAAATTTATGAAACGCCCCCCGCAAAAGTGACGCCAGAGTGGGCCAGCTGTGTGTGTGTGTGTCTTAAAACAGAGGTATCCAAAAAATGGGCTTGTTTCCTTTCCGCACTCAAAATGGTCTTCGATCAAATTTCTCATCTGAGGTCCAAACATGTCCCTTGCACCTTGCAAATTCACGGACATTTTCTGGGCTCTCCTCAGATCCCCTGCTAACATTTAGCTCTTGGTTAGCCTTTGGTGGGTTAAATGGACACCCTGGAAAAACCGAAGGGGATAGCGGGAACCATCAAGTTGTCCATCTCTTCTGTCGTTTTCTCTCTGCACATTTGTGTCCAAGCACTCCACCAAATTGAAATAAACCACAGTGTGGACCGGTCAACCAATCCAGCAAGCAAAATCATCCACACCTTCTAACCACTCCAAATCACTCCAACAAATCGAGCTAAACCCATAAACCAACAGATTCTAACACAGTTTCACTACGTCAAACCTCCTAGCCGGTGAAACAGAAATTCTTCTTAAATTCAACCCAACAGGCTTAGCAAAACCTGCAACACCCATCAGCTAAACCCATGTTTCTGTTTCAATCCAATAAGCTCACATAAACCCACATAAATCCACATAAACCCACATAAACCCACATAAACCCACATAAACCCACATAAACCCACATATCATATTCCGGCAAACCAAACCACATGTTTTCACCCCTTTCACCGTGACACATCTCCCAGTTCAACGGGTCGCTGAGTCCGAAGCCTCCAGGCACCGGATTTCCATGGCCTCCCGGAAGGGCCACCGCGCCTGGACGCGGCCGGACTTGCCGTCGAATGGGGGGAGTGGAATTGATCTTCCTCTACCCTGGTGCCCAGGTCTTCTTTTTGCCTTTGCGACACAGTGTCTGTTCGACGCAGCGATTTACTGGGGGGGAGGGGGAAAGAAGAAAGAAGGAGAAGGCCCCACTGGTGCGTAGGTCCTCTAGTAGAGAGGATAGCACTGTGTTCCCAAAAAGTTAAAAGTCTGCCAAAGACCAACCAAATAGCCATAACGTGACGAGGATCTCAAACATCTTTTGTGAGACCCGGGTCAATGAGATGTATCTGCAGATGTGGTGTGTTTCCGGCAAGTGAAATGGGGCTCTGGGACTTCAAGCCGCAAGGAACACCATGATTTAAGGTTCCCCCCTACATAGTTATTATGGGCGTGTGTTTTCGTAGGGGACCCACCAAAATGGCGCAACGGATTGTCTTTGGTCGCTCCTTCAAACGTTCGGCCACGTTAGTGGTTGGCCACCTGGACTATAACGCACCATTGACTGCATTCATCCACTTAAGAAGGCTTGCCGTGGTTAGAACTCAGGTTTCTGACAGCTTGACACCTTGTCTGAGCACCCAAGTCCCAACTCCAAAGTGACGAGCCACCCAGCCACCCACACGGCCCCCGCGTGCCCCGTGGCCTGCTGGGCCTCCGCATCATTCAGACGCTCCAGGAGCTGCGTCTTCAAGCCCACCTGACGTCCATGTGCAGGGTACAACTCAGTCCGCGATTGGAAAAACCAAAAAACATTTGGTCAAATACACTTAGATCCGTATATTTACATGCTAATCCATGCAAATAAAACTCAATTGGGCTTTCTTGAAACTCAAACCGCTTGATTGTTATATGTCAAGGCCACACGAAAATAAGGCTGTTCACATTCAGTCCAACAATCTAAACATATAACAACAAGAAACATCGCGCTGAACAAGTGATGTTCCAGCTCGCCCCACGAAGACCTCACAAATGCGTTGAAAAGGCTGGCATTGAACTTGGACATGATCCCCGAAACCCCATCGATACATCGCGAAAACCAAGGCCTTCTTTAAGGCTCCCGCCCCCCCCCTCCCTCACCCAGGCCCCATGAAGGCCTGTAAGCACCGCCGGATCCAGACAAGAACTGCTCTTGAAAGCAACATATTACAACAACCAACCGAAGTAACACATCACCTCTTATGAAGCAACTCACTCCTGCCTAGTTGCGCCTTGTGAGGAACACAATGGAAGCTTTGGGCAAACGAACCGGGGAAGCTGTCACTCATGGATCCTCGTCTCCGTTCAGCATGTGCAGAGTTGTGTGCATTGCGAGCCGACGCTACGGGGATCTTTGCTGACACCTAGTCTGTGAGTCTGGTTGGGTGAAATAGCTCTGACACTCTGCGCTGTTTGTTGCTTTTAGAGATCAGTTTGGACGTTTGGATGCACAGCTGTCAATGTAGAACCCAAACAGAAACAACTAGGTGCCTTGATTAGTTGTTGCACCGAAAGAAACCACCCGCAACAAAAAGGAAGCCTTTGGCCATCAAGTTCATTCACGTGTTCCAGTAAATATATGACAATTGCACACATGGCGCCACACCACACAATTTATATTATCATTTCAAAAATTAAGTAAGAGTCCCTGACTAAAGGATCTTCATCATGGTTAGCTTGTCTTGCCTCCAAGTGAGCTCGCCATAACATTGGCAAACAAATGTGCGACATGAGGAACGATGATGTTCATGATGATGATGATGATGACGATGATGACAATACCATGTATCTGTGTATGTATATATATATATATCCATAAACACGTACATAAACTAATATAAGTAACCTATATATATATATATACTATGTTTCTCAATGTCTTGTTATTCTTGTTTTTATTGGTGCTGCCTTGTTTGTGGGTTGTTGGGTAGATCCCGTGTATTCACATCCCCCGCGCGCGACCCAATCCTGAGAGCCGTCCACCAGGATGAAGGCTTTCTCCGGCAACGCCTATTGAAAGCCAGGGCAAACAGGGTCTCGATCAACGCATCGAGCAACTTGCTGGTACGATAGTTAGGGAATGACCCACGGTGTGGGGAATGAACCGGAAGTGATTCCCGAAAAGGAAACCACATGGGGGATGGTTTGTAGGCGGTTCGGTTCCTTCATTCTTTGCTGAGGACCAGCAAGAGACTAAGCTTTGGAAATCAAAGACAAACACATGGTCACACCTCTTGCCCAGTTCTCGCTGCCTATCCCAAGTACTCTATGCCGGTGGGAGCAAAGAGTGGCAAATCTCTGCAAAACTCTGCACGCAATCAGATCTCAATCAGCAAGGCAAAGACGCGCTCGCCGTGAGGCGTTGGGTGGCCTATAAAATGTGCTTAGAGGAAACACCTCAAGGTTCGACATACGTTGCTCAAACCACGCTTCAGGTTGCGCGAGAAAGCTGAGGCTCCCATTTGGCGCTCTAAAATACTTTCTGGTTGCAAGGATGTCACAGTTGTGGTCTACATGCAATCAAGTATCATAGGTATCGTTCAAGCAAAGTTTCTGGGTCAAGTGCTCTGTCACCTTGAGCTTGCCAAGTCACTGTCACAAGTGTCAAACGTCAAGCGCCAACCTAGGCCCACTCCTGAGCTGCCTCGAAACTGCTCTGTGACTCAGATTGCTGTTTCGTTTTCCCCCCGCGGGAGCGATAAGCTGCTTGTGCGTGTGAACATTGTCACTTCGCTTGTACCAACTATGTGAACACCACCTTTGACCAAGCTTCAAGGTTCTTGTTCGGCCCCGAAATCAACAACAACGTGTCTGCATGTGCTACGCGCAATGCACCCAGTACAGTTTCAGAGGTACGAGCAGCGTCCTATGTGCTGCCAAGCGCTCCCGTCCTGGTCGCCGGCCACATCCTGCGACGCACGCTGCGCTGTTCGCTCTGCAAGTCCCAGCTGACGCACCCCGGGGGGCCAGGCGGTGCACCAGCTTCCCCACTAAAAGTTTGACTTTCGTCTTGGGTGCTGTAGATCTCCCCCAGCAAACTGTTTAACTGTTTGCTGGTTAAAAGGAAATATGAGCGGAATCCAAAAACTTAAAGTCCAAAGATCCAACCTGGCAGTAGAGTCGTCGTCCTGGCGCCTGCTTAGGGAGCCAAGAGGAAACAACTACTATGCAGTGGTTGGCGATGGTTTCGAAACACCCTGGAGCATGTCGATCTCAGCAAAGCAAGCATGACATGGACGTACACCCCGTGCCTCGCCATCCTCGGTAACACCTTGGTTGCGACTTCACGACCACTAGTGGCTGGGCTTGGTAGAGGATCTCATTCTTCTCTGATCAAAATGAGCAGGAAACATGGCTAGGACGCCTGGGCGTATCAAAACTGGGCTGTCCTCAGGTCCCTTGCTAAAAGTTTAGCTTGTGGCTTAGATGGAAACCTCCACTAAACCAACTGAAACTTACTAAAACAATTAGAAACCGGTTTCGGACCGGATGGCTGGAAACCACCAAGAAGAAGCAACCTTTCAGAAGCTCAAAACACCTAAGCGCCTGGGCCCCAGATTTGGTTTGCGCGAAAAAGTTGCTCCGGAAACCAAGTAATTGCCCAGGTTTTGCAGGAGTGCTCTTAGTCATAGGTTGGGTGCCAAAACTGGATGACCGCCATATGTTTGTTACGATTTCCTGATGGTCGCCTTGGGAACCGCCCCCAAGAAAGGCGGCTGCCTCGTGACGCAGTCGATGGATTTCCACCGCCCGACTGGGGGCCAAGCCTTTGGGCCAGCGGGGCCAGTTGGCGGTCCTGAGAAATCGAAGCACCAAGAGGTCCCACGATGTGCAACCCTAAGGGTATGTGGCTGTGGGTCAAGACCAATGGTACCATTTTGGGGTAGGTGCACCACCCATTTTAATCAATTTTAGTGGGGAGTGGGATGTTCACTGTGGGTATGGGGTTTTGACCCATGGCCATGTAGTTGTTGATGGACAAAATTGCACAACCATATTGGATGTGTAGTTCCTTGGTTATGGTATGTCAAGGTGATGTAGTTGATAGGGACCCAAGCCGGTGGACAACATTCGGTGGTTTCAAAGTTCCAGACCCTGGTCCCCTTGAAGTTCACTGGATTTCCGCAAGTTGATCATTTTGTCTGGTTTCCATTGAAACCATCGCCCTTTAGGTGAAAACAAAATGACATGAGGGGATCCCTGGAGAGAAAATCCCTAGCGAAACTCTGGCCACCGATACTTGAATGCACAACCAACTTAGTAGGGTGCAACCATGTTCATACAAGATGTCCAAAACCTAACATGAGAGGTCCCATTCCACTACAAACCAGGTGGTTTGCAACTTGCGGAAACCTCGTCCCCTTAGCATGGTTCTAACCAGGACCTACCTTACCATGGTAACGGGTTATCCACCAGCCCTAACCATTGGTCCCCTCATAACCCACTGGCCTCATGTTGGTCCAACATCCAGGAATCCAAGGGCCTCGTTGCACGCTCCACGCGGTCGAGGCCGGCGCCAGCGGGCCCAGAGCTCGTCATCGTCCAGGCGCGCCCAGCCGCCCAGCACCTGCGCGTCGGACCGGCGGACCGGCGGACCGGAGGCCACGGCCGAAGCCGTGGGTGGCGTGTCACAGGAGAACCGAAGGAATGTTCAACCTGTTTGGGTGGGGTCGAAGGGATTTTTCCCGCTGGGGTGATAACGAAACGTTGGTCAAGGTGCTGGTCGGGACAAATGAAACTGGCCACTTGTGCGTGGACTTCCTGTGAATATTTGACGCAATTGGGACCTCCCTTCGGGGCACCCCTTCAACGTGCAGCGCAAAATGATAGAGCCCAGAAGAGCCTAATTTGGGCAACCACTCATCTATCCAGGCAGTCCACATGCCTCTCTTGGATTTTTGCGCAGGTGCTTGTTGGCAATCGTTTCTTGAAACATCCGGCTGGCGATTGAAGCAGCATTTGCCAGAGATAGTCTAGTCAGGTCTGAAGACTTGCACCGGTGCTGGAAGTGGGCCTGGAGGAACCTAGGACACGCGAAGCAAAGGAATGCCGCCTCAAGTCGGGATCTGGGCCTCAGCTGTGAGATCTGACTCAGGATACCTTTCGCTTTCCCAATTCAACAAAGTGAAGAGTGATCAAGCAAACACAAACACACGCACACACACACACACACACACACACTCTCACACACACACACGTCATCCCAGCCACAATCGGTTGTGAGCTTGCTATGAGGTGTCTTCATGTGAGCCACACACAACATACACGACTTCCCTCATGGACATGGGAAAACCAGTGAGTGATCCTGCTGTGTGCTTGGAATGCAGAGAGTCGGTCATGTCCCTCTCAAATTCAACGGGATATTTCGGCCGAAGCTCAGGGGACGCTCCCTTAGCGGAGGATTTACCCACGACCTCTCCGTGGAGAGCTGTGAAATGCTTTCCGGCGGCGATGGCACCAAGTCCTAAGTCTGAGTAGCTTGCGTGAAATTGCCTCGGGGAGGGCGACCGTCGCTCTGCCTGGCCCTCTATGATTTTACCATTTTCAAAGCCGCCTCCCCCCCCAAGTTTGCTAAAGTGGCAAGTTAAAAGGACATCACCCCCAACTTCTGACTTTTCCACCCCTGTGAGAGGAAGCCGCCTGCACAAGGGAGGCCATCTTCCAGAAAATGTTGACTCGCAAATGCTGGCTGTTCGGCCACCCAGGAAAGGAGACATCCTCTTTAACTGGATCTTTCGCTTGGGCTTCCTTCTGTTCAATTCGAAGGAGCACCCTCAAAAAGCGGGGGTTTACTCAGTAAACCGCGCTTCTTGAGTAAACCGCGCTTTTTGAGGTTTCTAGTTGACTGTTTCCCCCGAGAACCCTCAGAAAGCTGCGGTTTACTGCTTTCCCCCTTCTTTTCCATCCCGAAAAGGGCACAGAAGCGCCCTCGCCACGGGCCTCGGAGATGCGCAGCAGGGTGCCCGGGTGGATGGTGTCGAGCACCGCCGCCGTCGCGGAGGGCGCTGAGCGGATGGCCACCTGGACTTGGCGTCGTTTCTGCTGGGAGATGGGTGTGGCTCAGAATTAAACAGGAAGGGCAAACCGCAGGTTTTGGTCCATGTTTCCACCTACCAGGGTTCCATTTTGGTACCGGTTTTTTGAGCAGACGGGTGGAACTATGGGAAACCAGAACGTTTGTTGGTATACAGGGGGAATCATCATTCTAGGGTTTCTTGTGTGGCGCAGGATTTCGTCCATCCACAGTATGAGTGGCTCGTCTTTTTGAGCAGAACCCCGGAAACGACGTTTTCCAGTTTGTTCCTAAACAAAAAACAGGGGGTGCCCCCAAAAAAGACACGCCCAATATGAATTCCACTACCTCCCAAACCCATCAAAACGGGGAAAACGGGGGAATCATGGGGAAAGCAACCTCAGAAAAAGGTGGCTACGTGTTTCTCCCCAGCTGCGAAGAAGCTTTGCGTCTCCGCCCCTTGTCAACTCGGTGGTTCAGAGCAGCTGTCAGGGTTCCGGAGGGTTCGGCAGGGGGTTCGGTTGGGGTACCTTGTCTTGTTTCCACCCCCCAGATCATCCAGCAGGTTGAATGGTAAATATGATGCGCAACGAATCTGGCGAAACTACTCAAAGGGTACTGTGCTTTCCCTGCAGAACAGGGAGTGAGGTTTGGGGAAACACCAAGGCAAGGCGTCAAAACAAGCCGGGCACCTTTTGCTGCGGGTGCAAACCGATGCAACAAGGAAACAAGGATGCCCATAGTTCTGCTTCAAACATGGCAAACCAGAAGAGACATTGCAACTGCTATGGTTAATAGGTATACAACTCGATTTGAAGCACTCGCTCGGGCCCCACCCTCGGCCCGTGGATGCATTTGTAGACGCCGCCGCTGCTGCTTTCTGCCTGACAAATCCGATTGGCCCTCATTCAAATGCCAGGGCATCAGGAAGATGCTCAACATGTGCAAGTCAAGAAGAAAGGCTGCAGCTATTGAAACTGAGAGAAGCTAAGTAATGCAAAACAACCTAAAATCCGGACAATTGTTCGCGTGATTATTGCGTTCACAGCCCTGATGCACTGCGCGGTAACATATATAACGTGCTTGTCTCAAAAGTGGGACCTGACAAATGATGCTTTCCTTTGGTGATAGCCTTCATAGAAACGTACCCCGAAAAACAACGCAAACATCTACGTATAAATATATATATATATATACATTGTATGTCATGTAGTGAGTTCCAACTGCTTGTGAAAGTCCAAGGGAAAAGCGATCTGGCACGCTCGCTGCGAGGGCGACATCCTAAAAGGTACCCTCCAAACAGTGGTGTAACGGCAAACCACCCTCACAACGTTCTCTTTAACGGACCCAAACAAATCGCAGTGAATGAGGCTCGATCTTCTTACAGTTCCTCGCACTACATTGGCAGGACCACGTGATGATTGAAACGGGCTTGGGTATGGGAAACCCCGTCCACTGCCGGCAAACATGAGATCGGCAACGGCAAGCGCAGAGGTTTCCAGTTGACAGCAATCATGGATAAAGACTCCGCTGCAGATTACAGAACCCAAACAACCACCACATATGCGACCATGTTTTGGAGGAACCTCCTTTTGGAATCCCCGCCGTTTTGGGGTTCCAGGATAGCTTTTGGACGCGCGGCATTCCACAAACAGTTTTCATGGGTTTTCGTGGGTATTTTTTCTGAGGCTCGGTACCCCTAAGGTTGGTTCAACCGATGCCATTTTGAGGGGGGTCACTTGTGTTTTGACAGATACCCTATTTGAGGGTACCTTCCTTTTGTGGTTGAAAGAAAAAACAAAAGGACACCACCTACTTTGCCACATATACATATTCACCAACCCTGCTTTGGCACGCCAGCCTCCCCCCCCCCTCTCGGAAGGTGCCTTTGGCACCGCTCGGGCAGGGTACGCCTCGAATCGCAAGATTCGAAGCTCTGAAGACCTTAAAACCAGTCCGACCCATGTGGCTGGCTCTCTCTCTCTCTGTTTTTGAGGGTAATTTCTGCTTCTCAGCTTGAAGGGAAACCAAACGGAAGATCACCATTTGGGCATCCCTCTACCTTGACACAGACCCATATTATATCTATTGTCTCAGAAGTTGCCACTTTCAAGGAGTTCCCCTTCGGATCACACGGCGCATGTGGTAAGCAAAGCCCCAGTTCTGACTGGATAACATCGAATTCTTCACCAACCCACAAAGGGAGCCAGCTTGGGATTGCACGAGTTCTGATCACAATATGTCCCAAAGGGTCCTCTTGCCTAGGAGGTACTGAACGGCCCTGTTACTCCCCAAAAGCCATTCCCAGGTACTTGGACCCTCTTGAAACGTCTGCCCATGTGCGCAGTTCCTGCAAACTCGACCAAGGACGCCAAGCGCGTGGAAACATCTCACTGAAGTGAACAACTCTGAAGACATCTAAGAGGAAAACAAGCTGGATGCAGATGCATGCCAACTATGTGCACCACCAGGTTCTAGGTCCACTTCAACGACATAATTGCCCTTCATTACATGTTGATCTAAACGGCATCAACGTACAGCCAGATAAGTGCACGTTGGGCCTTTAAATGTTTGTTCGACAATTCTGCAAACCTCCTATCTAAAAATTATCGGATGCTGAGCTAAACCGAGAAGAACAACCTAAGTGAGCGCCTGCGGACCTCCAACGCCACAAAGGGTGGGGTTGCTGGAGTTTGAATTTCCGGGGATCCAAGATGTGTCGAACAGGAGATGATCTCCACCGAAAGCGTGTCGAACAGCGGGAACCCTGAAGTCCTGTGTTGTCTTACCCGTCATTGCTCGCTCGCCATCCCCCCTCTGTCACCCCCGCCCCCCCGGCACTGGCTGCTTTTTTCTCCAGCTCCGCCGCTCTCGCGGGACCGTAGGCCTGCCGGTGAATGAGACTCAAAGAACGTGGCAGCGCCCACCTCGGTCCCTCGGTCTCAACTGTCTTCACGCGCAATGGCAACCTAAACAATTTAGGTGCGTTCATCCTAAATGTCACCCTGTGTATCCGCGCTTGGAGACAAACTAGAAATTTGGGAGATTCCCTTGGTTCCACAGAAAATTGCAACCCAGCTTGTTTGTTCCACTCTATGCGACCCGCGCCACGGTCGCACATTCAAACAAATGTATGCAACTCCCCTATCGTTTTCCAGGTGTTCGGCTTTTGCAGCGGGATCGGTATCGTGCAAAGGCATGGTGAGTCCCCTACTGTTTCCATGCAAATGGCAAGGAAGGCTGTAGGTGCATGAAAAGTCTGCGCTCATGGTGGACCACCGTTCAAATGGTAAAGGGAAATCAAAAGGAAAAAGGTGCCACTTGAAGGCCTATCACCCTTTTATTTCTCAGTTGCCCAAAGGACCCAGAAATTGAAGGCGATCATCTCTGGGGCCCCTAACAATGGTCGCCAAACAGGGGTTTTCAGATCCGGTCGATGCGCTTTGGGCAAGCGAGATTTTGAGAACCCATGTGGGGGGCACTGAGTGGTGTCCATTCCGATCGATCCACTGTTGGAGGTTCCCTTTGAAGGGCCATGGCTCGAGTTTCCGCGAAACTCTAGGGGTTGATTCCTTTTCCATTCTTGTCAACCATCGTTCTTTTCAAACACCAGCTGTTTCCCCAGGGTCTTGGGTGGTTTTGTAGAAAGGATGCCTCGAAAGAATGGAAATGGAGGTACCCCTAGAGAAACCGAAACCCCGCAGCTTAGCTGCTCTTTAAAAAAAAAGAAAAAATGACGCATGGCTTGAAGCGCCGTCCTGACGCACAGCCCCCAGGAGCCGCTGGTCCGGCGCCACGGGCGCGCAGCTCAGACGCCTGCGACCGGGGGTCCCACTTGATTCTTCTTTGACGCAGAAGGCATCGAGGGGAAGTCAACACAAAAAATTGGGCCAAGGTGGTTTGATCAACATGAGCTTATGTGGCCTTTTGGATTGGCTGTTTGGGTGGCAGATTCCCCGTTTCTTTTCTGTTGTTTTTTGCTTTTGTGGAAACCATGCGAAACTAGTAAGCCTCAAATTAATGATTGAAACCACCAGAAAATGGATGCAAAGGTGATGTTTTGATGTTGGAAACCGTCAATGGAAACCGTCAAGGGAAACCCATGTAGACCCCTGCATCCCTGCATGAGTCGGCTTCAGCTTTAAGGCCCAAAAGGCTCATGGTGTCCTATGCCAGCCGAGACAACTGTTTTTTTTATTCTTTTTCGAAAGGAAACCGGCGAATTCCTCGGAGGCCGAAATAGCAGGTCCCATGCGTGTCTGGCTTTTGTGAATAAACCCCCCAACATGGTGGGTTTCTGGATCGAACTCCTAATGCTGCTCCTTGATTAATAACCCCCCAGTTGTCATAATTCGATGGGTCCCCGTTCAGGGAGTCCCTTTTTCCTTTCTTCCAGGACCCCCGGACAAAAATCACCGGCGGTGGGGGCGGAGAGGGCTGTGAATCAGGGGTGCACCGTGCCACCTGCCGTACCTGAAGTGACGTTGGTGCAAACCTTTGAAGCCCAAAGCTTCAACGGTCGCAGGGTCGCTTGCTTCGCCAATCTCCCGCCTCCAAATCTCCTCTGCCATTTGCCTGACGCGCCAGGCTGAGGGGAGATGGCAAGCTCAACACCTGGGTGAAAGTAGATGGCAGAGTTCCATTTTGTGGGTAAAGGGGATGACTACCCCAACATGAGTCGGATTTGTTCGGCCATCTGCTTTCACCCAGCCGTAGTTTGCGTCAATATCTTCAGCTCTGAGGAGAATAGCCATCCCTCGAAGGTTTCAACTGGCATCCTGTGGTTTCTTTTCCCTGAATGATGGTCATAGAATGGAATAATGCAAACAATTCTCAACACACCTTTCGTCTGTGTGCGCGATGAACGCATGCACACTAGTTATATGAGGGTAATGATCTAGCCGCTGATTGCCACGTAGTTTGTGTCTTGAAACATAGGCGTGGCGACTGGTTGCATCATTACTTTGCCTTGGCCGGGAGAATTCTAGCAAATCCGCAGTCGACATACAGTGCGATCGCACAAAAGCAGTGTTGTGCATCCACGCAACTTCATGACCAGTTCCCAGCCAAACATGCTGCTGAGCAGGCAAGTCTTCAAGGGAGTTTTCACCAAGCCAATGAGGCTTGAAGCAAGCACTGCACTTTTTCCACTCTGAGACACCACGGCAGAAGGGAATGCGTCCAAATAGGGGCCCAATGGTGCTGTTCAGTCTGGTTTGCCTTTAAGCCATTAAGAGGCCATGGGGCAAAATGGGGCAACTGCTCGGTGCCCCGAGGCTAGGCCCTGCCTGTGCTCTGCCCGCCGCCCTGGCATCGAAGCAATGCCGTGAAGGACACACCAAAACAACTCAGACTGTGGATGGTTGCGATCGAAATCCGCGCCGAGCCGCGAGTCTCGCACCACGAAATGAAACCAGGGTGGAAACCATAAATAAGGTCTGTTGGTACGATCCCAGGGTTTCTGAACGGTGGAGCGAAATGGATTTCGTCCATCCACGGTACCACATGGCCCCTTCAGTCAGCTTATTGGGATGTAGTTTCTGAACCATACACAGCCACCCTGCCCCGCACAATCAGCCAAACACCTCCCGAGCTCTTCGCATGCGCCCCTGTCTTCTGACAAAGCAGAAAGATGCAAATTGGAAATCGGCTTGCGTCTTCTGAACAACTATCAAAGCAATTAACATCAGCTTCCCTCTAATGGGCGGTTTGGATCGGTGTGTTGGAGGTTTAGGGGTGCCTTCCCATTCGCCCTCTCCAAAACCAGGGCTTCACATCCCCAAACCAGGGGTTCCACTCCCCAAACCATCCAGCAACTAAGGGGAACTTTTGTGAGAGCATGGATAAATAATAAGCCGCTTCAATGGTCTGAATAAGATGAACCAACCCACTAAAGCTTGGGCAAAGATGCAGGCTTCCTCTCGGAACAGGTCTGTGGAATGGTTCTCATCCTGCCAAAGCTCCGGTCAGCAGCAAAGGCACATTGGCGCCAAAGCTACAGGTCATTGGCAAGAATGTGACCTTCTTGCGCAAATGGTGCCCTCGCAACCCCTGCACCACTCATGCTCAAGTTGTTACACGCATGCCCAACCACAAGGCAATCAACTCAGCGGGACGAAAACTCCAACCGCCTCCATCCAGAATGTGGACCACCAACAACCAACGCAGCAACGCAGCTTTGCTCAGCCCCTTAGATGTGAAATGTTCCGTTCCTCAGGCTTTCTCTCGGAACAGGTCTGTGAAATTGCTCTCATCCTGCCAAAGCTCTGCCACGCAAAGAACACTGAGCCCTGTACCCCTGAACCCCCTTCATCCCCTGCAAGAGCAGCAACTCAGCAGCACGTCTTCATTCGCAAGTATCTGGCCTTCTTCTGCACCAAGTTGTTACGCACACAGGCCAAGCACAAGAATCAATTCAGCAATGCAACACACTCCAACCACCTCCATCAAGAATGTGGACCACCACCCAACCAATGCAGCAACGCAGCTTGGCTCAGCCCCTTAGATGTGAAATGTTCCGTTCCTCAGGCTTTCTCTCGGAACAGGTCTGTGAAATTGTTCTCATCCTGCCAAAGCTCTGCCACGCAAAGAACACTGCGCCCTGCACCCCTGAACCCCCTTCATCCCCTGCAAGAGCGGCAACTCAGCAGCACGTCTTCATTCGCAAGTATCTGGCCTTCTTCTGCACCAAGTTGTTACACACACACACTGGCCAAGCACAAGGCAATCAATTCAGCAACGCAACACACTCCAACCGCCTCCATCCAGAATGTGGACCACCAACAACAAACGCAGCAACGCAGCTTTGCTCAGCCCCTTAGATGTGAAATGTTCCGTTCCTCAGGCTTTCTCTCGGAACAGGTCTGTGAAATTGCTCTCATCCTGCCAAAGCTCTGCCACGCAAAGAACACTGAGCCCTGTACCCCTGAACCCCCTTCATCCCCTGCAAGAGCGGCAACTCAGCAGCACGTCTTCATTCGCAAGTATCTGGCCTTCTTCTGCACCAAGTAGTTACACACACAGGCCAAGCACAACAACCAATTCAGCAACGCAACACACTCCAACCACCTCCATCAAGAATGTGGACCACCACCCAACCAATGCAGCAACGCAGCTTTGCTCAGCCCCTTAGATGTGAAATGTTCCGTTCCTCAGGCTTTCTCTCGGAACAGGTCTGTGAAATTGTTCTCATCCTGCCAAAGCTCTGCCACGCAAAGAACACTGCGCCCTGCACCCCTGAACCCCCTTCATCCCCTGCAAGAGCGGCAACTCAGCAGCACGTCTTCATTCGCAAGTATCTGGCCTTCTTCTGCACCAAGTTGTTACACACACACAGGCCAAGCACAAGGCAATCAATTCAGCAACGCAACACACTCCAACCACCTCCATCAAGAATGTGGACCACCACCCAACCAATGCAGCAACGCAGCTTTGCTCAGCCCCTTAGATGTGAAATGTTCCGTTCCTCCCCCTGAACCCCCTTCATCCCCTGCAAGAGCGGCAACTCAGCAGCACGTCTTCATTCGCAAGTATCTGGCCTTCTTCTGCACCAAGTTGTTACACACACACAGGCCAAGCACAAGGCAATCAATTCAGCAACGCAACACACTCCAACCACCTCAATCAAGAATATGGACCACCAACAACCAATGCAGCAACGCAGCTTTGCTCAGCCCCTTAGATGTAAAATGTTCCATTCCTCAGGCTTTCTGTCGGAACAGGTCTGTGAAATTGTTCTCATCCTGCCAAAGCTCTGCCACGCAAAGAACACTGAGCCCTGTACCCCTGAACCCCCTTCATCCCCTGCAAGAGCGGCAACTCAGCAGCACGTCTTCATTCGCAAGTATCTGGCCTTCTTCTGCACCAAGTTGTTACACACACACAGGCCAAGCACAAGGCAATCAATTCAGCAACGCAACACACTCCAACCACCTCAATCAAGAATATGGACCACCAACAACCAATGCAGCAACGCAGCTTTGCTCAGCCCCTTAGATGTAAAATGTTCCATTCCTCAGGCTTTCTGTCGGAACAGGTCTGTGAAATTGTTCTCATCCTGCCAAAGCTTTGCCACGCAAAGAACACTGCGCCCTGCACCCCTGAACCCCCTTCATCCCCTGCAAGAGCGGCAACTCAGCAGCACGTCCTCATGGTAAGTATCTGGCCTTCTCTTGGCTGGTTCCTCGTCTCGCGTGGTTTGGAAGACACCGCAGATTTCGCATATGCATTTACTCAACAAGCTGATTGAGGATGTACCGCCAGAAATCTGGCAAGACTTAGGCACCAAGTTGTTACACACACACACACAGGCCAAGCACAAGGCAATCAATTCAGCAACACAACACTCCAACCACCTCCATCCAGAATGTGGACCACCACCCAACCAACGCAGCCGTTCCCCAGGCTTTCTCTCGGAACAGGTTTGTGGAAGTGTTCTCGTCCTGCCCAAGCTCCGACACGCAAAGGGCGGGTGATGTCGGTTGCCCACAACGCCTCAAAACATTCCGAACTCCCTGCCCAATGTCCCTCGTCCAAAAAAGGGGACGCCCGTTTTGGGTTTAGTGGGGAACCCGCCAAAAGGACACAAGTTGCTACAATTTCCGACAGAAATCCCGGCGGGTCCGCCGCAGGCCGAAATGGCGCTGGTGAAGGCAACTGCGCTGGGCTGGACTTTCCGACTCTGCATGTTGTCCAGCCTCAGCAACAAATCACAGTATTTTGTTAAACCTCCCACCAATAAACAGAGACGTGCTCAGAAGCCCTGTTCAAATGGGACCTGTGCTCTTCTATGTTTGTTGGCGGAAGGGTAACAACAGCTGTCCTGCGCCCTGGTATCTCATTTGGAGCCATCTGAACCAAAGTTATTGATTCTCGTGACCTGATCACTTTTTTGGAAGCCCATTGGTACCACAATGGCTGCGTCTGAAAGGATAAAGTTCTGATCAAACCTTTGATTTGGAATGCTGAGTTTGCACATCAGGAATCTCACGTAACCATCTTTGCTTTTGTTCAAGAACTCACTGCATCCTTGGTCAAACAACCTGGCGTGTCAAGAAAAAATGTAGGCCCTCGCCGAATCATCCGTGTGTGTGTGTGTCTTCGTCAAAAGCCAAGCGTGTCTCTTTCCTTTTTTCGGGTACCCCCTAAAATGGTGGTTTCCCTTTAAGACCAAAAAACACGAGAAAACAACAGAAAAGAAAAGGGGTACCCTAAAAACAAACAGACCCAAGTTGACCCAAGCATTCTACTGCCGCCGCCGCACCAATGGACACAGCGCTGCACGTCCTGAGCCTTGCACAAGCTCGCGATTTCGCAATGGGATCGAGCGAGTCACAAAAAGACATGACGTCACAGCTGATGTTCCCTTTTTTGTCCCCCGAGGTGAGTAACATCAAAATGGGTGTTCCTTCAACCCAACTCCAAAACGTTCTTGAAGTCTACTAAGCAACTCGATGACAAAGCATCAAAAGAGCGGATATCCGCTCTGGATGGTTGGGACAGTCCTCTACCTTCGTGCAAGCCCGGGTTTCGATTGCCTCTCAACTTATGCCCCCGAGCTCGAAAAGTGGTGCAGGGCCGGGTTCCACAAAAAAAGGCTTTCTTTTGAATGCTGTTTCAAGCGAAATCGGAAGGAAAACATTGAGAGAACAACCATCCAGCATCCCTGGCCTCTGCTTCTCCCCAAGCCTGCCTCAACACCCATCCGCCCAGGAAGGGGTAGCAAATAGGTAGTAACCATAGTTATCAACCCCAAATACGCCCACTTCCCATGGCATGCTTCTTTCCTGCTTGCCTGGTGCTTCAAATCTCCAATTTGCAAATTTGCTCATTGGGTTGTGGTAAAATTGCAATGTCCCGTTCATTTGCTCCCTGAAAGACGGCCAGCGTAAGATAAACAACGCACCTCCCAGTTGGCCAGGTGAGCTGATAGGAAAGGCATTGGACTGTTGCCCAAAAAAGTCGGCTAAACCAAAGGAATCTTCTTGAAATCAGCTTCCAGATTGGTTCTTGGAGAAACTCTTACGGAAGCACCCGGTCCCTTCCAAACATTTTCTTCCCCCGCCACGGACCTCGCAACGGTGCCATCCCCTTCGCCTTGGCGCACGCGCTGAGCACCGTGTTCAGCATCTGCGCGTCTGGCCGCAGCTTCGCCGACTCAGCCTTCTGCAGCCAGGCCTCCGCCTAAAGGGGCGAGCGGAACCCATGGGGTCCAGTGGGGCATTTAAAGAACCAAAGAAACGGCTCCCTGTGGTGTCCTTTCAAAACACACACCCACATACACCAAAACCAAGGTTTCCCTGTATAAATAGATTTAAATACCATTTATTGGTGGGTTCCCATGGAACTGCCACTTTTGGAGGTCAAGCCGGAAATCGAGGCGCCCTTGAAATTTGGATGCCCTGCAGGGGATTCCTCACAGCTGGCCATCTGAAACCCAACATCTTCAACCAAGAGGCAAGGCCCGGGGTCACTCGGAACCGCCAGAGCGTTTGCAGCCCGATGGACGAAGCTCAAGCGAGAAGCGGCAGGATGGGTTTGAGAAATGCTGTGAATGCCATGATGCAGCTTAGATTAGATAATTTCGCGAGTCACTTGGCTTTCGCCAAGGTTCGGCTCAGCTCTTTATGCCAACTTCAAAAGGAATACCTGCCGCAGTCGCTGCCTCTCTTGCATTCACGCGGAGGAGAGCCCGGGCACAAACAGCAGGCGTGACCGTGTTTGACACATCCGGCTCCACATATCTAAGACCAAAATGCGAAGCAAGAACACAAACATATACACGTCCACACACAAGTATCACAAACATAAATGCCCCCCCTCCCCGAATTTGGCCCACTTGGCCCCTTATACACACACACACACAAAAAAAAAAGGAGAAACAAACTCCCCCCCCCCCCAAAAAAAAAAAACGATAACGAACACCCAACCAAACATCTCGCCCCAGCCGCGTCACCCAACCCCCCCCCCCCCCCCGCCTGTGTCGCCTTCTTGGCCCGGCTGCACGCCTTCACCAGGCCGTTGAAGCTGCTCAAAGTGGCCGGCAAGCCCCGGGCCTACCCGCAGGCGCCGCCAAATGGGTGCGCCATGGTTGAGGGGTCCCCTTTTGTGGTGTCAAATTGAAAAGCAAAAGGAAAACCACCATTCTGTGGGTCCCCTATTGTTTCACCAAAAAGATAAGCCACTAATGTTCGGAACAACTGCAGGGAAACCTAAGCGAGCTCTTTTTTCTCGGGTGCCAGCTTGCACAGGACAATCATGCATCCGAAAGAAACCCGGTGGAACCAATTGAACGTGTTACACTGGAGCTTCCCTCGAATTGGTTGTTTGGATTGGTGGTTTGGGTTGGTGTGCAGCTTGGGTGGTTTCCCGTTTGTGTCCAAACATATCCAAACCACCCCTTCGGGGTAACCTGAAACTCTGTTTGTGGTACGGCCTATCTCCCCCTTGGCAAAGCAACCAACGTGGTGTGTCAAAACCATCCCTTGAACGGGTCAAACTGGACCTTGGCCTCATGGCCTCCCTCCCGGCGCCTGCATCTCATTGAGGAGCGCCTCAGCCTCCTGCAGCTGGCCCTGAGAGGCGCAGGCGTCGATGGCCTCGATGAACAGTAAAGCGGGGGACGGCGTCTCAACCGGCGGATCCGGATCGGCTGGGTGGGGCGGCAAAAAAGGATTCCCCTTTCAACCAACCCGAAAAGGGCTCTCAAGCAAAAGCCAACACGATCGATTTCAAAAAGACAACCTGATAAGGTAAAACCTGTCTATGAGCCCACACGTAGAACCTATGAACAGCCAATAGTTGCTTTGTTAAACATGTCAACGACGCTTGCTGCGTGGTGACCGCTAGGCCCTGAATCTCACTGGAAACTCCGCACGGCCGGTCCGTGGGTTGTCCCTCCGCGTGCAAATTTTGTATCAGCCTTCGGACAGAGTGCTGAACTCGAGGGCGAAACTCACGCAGAGGCATACCACGATTCATTTGTTCTGTAAATTTGATGCAAAAAGATGAAATAAGGGAACCCAAGTAAAGGAGACCGCTATCTTCCCTGGTAAGAGCGCTAGAAAATAGGCAGATTTGTTGGCTACCCCTAAGAAGTCCTAAAAACGTACTCTCCTGCAGATGAACATTAAACCGTCCTTGTTGGAATCTCCTCTTGGACCCCCTTTTCTGGGTTCCTTCCGTGAATTTGCAGAGCCAAAACCCAGCAATTGGCAACTCCACTTCGCTTGGCACTGGGGCCCCGGCCGCGCCGAACATCGCCGCGCCGGGTGTCACCTGCAAAAGGTGATTTCTGGTCCCAAGCTGAAAACCGTCACCACACCAAAAGCAAGTTCCTATCCTGAAGATTTGACAATCTGTTGTTGTATATCGGGAACCTTACTCTTAAATATTGGCAAAAGGCGATGTTTGAAAACGACCCAGGACAACCCTTCATTGGGGTGGGGAGGGAGAGGAATCTGGGCGTCCCCGATTGGAAATTCGCTTGTGTCTCAAAGTAGGGGGACCCCCAAAACAGTGGTTTTCCTTTTGAGTTCCTTTCCCCAAAAGGATGCCCTCCAAAAATGACACTGCCACTCAGCGTTCCGTTGTTTGACTACCCCAAGGTAGACTTAAACCACTTCCTGAGTGGGCTGGCCAAAAAAAGGTCCAAACTTCCTTTTTACCACGAAAATTGTCCAAACCCCAAAGGGTGACTCAAATCCGAAACGGAACTCAGGGAGTGAGACCTTGGCTCGGCCAACAGACTCCCGGCCGCCTGCGCCAGCTGCGCCCGCCGCAGAAGCCGCGGCGCCGCGGCGCCGTCCCCCGCCTTGGCGCAGGCGTCCTCAGCCGACGGCGCCCGAAACGAGGCGAGCGCATGGACGGCGCGGGGGCTTCAGCGAACTTGCTCCTTGGGTAAGCCGCAAGAAACCCGCCAGTTTAGCAGTGCCCCATGCAAAAAATTACCCACTCGGGTATATATAGAAAGCTCAAAGAAAACGCGATTGTTTTGCAACATTTCCTTGGGTGTCCTTTTCAGAGTACATGGGTGCCTGCTTTACATATGTGCTTCCTTATTTGTCCAAGGCGTATCTGGTTTGTTGAAACACAGGCGCCAGGACGCAGGTGTAGCTCACCTCATTGGGCTGCAGATCTGCCTCCTCGGCGCGGCGGAGCCAAGCTTCCGCCTCCTCCACCTGCGAGCGGGTCACGCCCCGCGCGGGGGCGGGGCCGTTTGGCGGTCGATGTTTTGCGACCAGAAAATTCGAGTTGAAGCCTCCCCATTCTTTCCAGGAAGCCTTCTTTTCAGCAAACCTGAAAAAAAGGGGGAAACAGCTGGTTTTTGAAAGAACGATGGGTGAAAAGAATGAGGAATCAACCCCTAGAAGCATACACTTTTGTCCCGACCAAACAAATTATGGGGTGCTCATTCTGATGGACGAACTCCTCTAGTTGATAGGTGCTGTGTCTCAATGATTATTGACAACAATCATAGGGCTTCATGCATCCCGACTGGTGCGAACTGGACTTTGTCTAGGTCCTCCAGTAGAGAGGCTAGAATAAGGGTACCCTTTTTTCTGCAGTCTATTTTAGTAGGGGGACCCTCCCAACCAAAAAGGAACGGTCAAAGGGCACTACTGGGGGACCTAGTTGTCCATCCACGGCATGTCTCTTCAAACCTTCAGGTCTCAGGTTGTGAAATAGCGAGTGATTAATAAGAGAAAGAGCCATACCGTACCTGTCAATGGATTCTTATCTCCAACAAAATGATTAATAAAAGAAGGAACAGACAAACAAAATAATATGAAGAAGATAATAAACAATAAAGAAGATCTGAAATGATATTAACGGAGAGACTGATATGCCTTCTCACGGCTTCCCCGTTCATTTATTAGAAGAATTAGATATAGAGAATAAGAATAACGTAAAAGAAGATTCATTAGAAGATACAAACGTCATATCTTATTAGTCTTTACGGAACCCCCTGCGCTTCGATCAATCGAAGCCGTGCGAGGCCCTGCCGCGCCTGGCCCTGGCGCGCGAAGGCGTGGAGCACCGTGTTGAAGGCTTCCAAGTCGGGGCTCGGCATGCGGAGGAGCCAGGCCGCAGCCTGCGCAGGGGACCCCCAAATCCATCTTGAAGGGGGTGGGGACATGCCGGGTTGCACATAGAAAGTCACGAAGGAAATCGGTGTCATGACAACAGGTGGTGTCCCTGCAAGGCAGGAATCTGTACTTCTGGACGGAAACCGGCCCTATTGATCCATACTGTTCCACACAGCTTAGGAATCCGTGGTCGGCATTAGCTGGCCTTGTGTGTGCCGAGTCGAGCATCCCGGCCCTAAATGGTGCCAAGTGTTGCAGGTGAACCAACCACACCCGATCAATCAAAAGACACGGGAATCATGGGCAATCCAATGTGTGCTTCCTGGTGGGAGGGGGGGGGGGTTTGGCCCCCTTTTTGGTCAAGGATGGCAGCTCCCTTCGAATAACCCAAAGTGTGAGCCTCAAAACATGCCAACGAGCAGACCTGCCTGAGTCATTAATGCCTATAAAGGGGCAACTGGGGGCCGGTTAAAAACCTGGGCTGTCCTGAGATCCCCTGCCAACAAGTTTAATGATTAGTGGGTCAAATGGAACCCCCCACCAAACCAACTCAAAACACGTAACAACCCAAGAAACCGGATGCCGGAGAACCACCAAGAAATTGTCCAATTGTAGGGCCGACCAACCCTTGTGCATTATTCCACGTGGGAAATCAACAGCCCAAGTGATTTTGCCTTTCAACAGCTCCCAAGGTTGCGCTTTCCACACCATAAAAGTGGCCATGTCCCGGCTCCGTGGCTGTGACATGTGGCCAGCTCCTCGAGACACTGAGACTCTACTTAAAGCAGTGTTGCACTTCGAGCATGGAGGCAAACGTAGGATCCGGCGCAGACCATGCGCCACATGTTCAACCTCAAACAACTGTCACAAGTCACAAATAAGCAACGTTAACCTATAACCAAAACCAGCTTCTAGCACTTCGTTGTATACTTGCCAGCTCCTTGGCTTAAGTTACGACTCCATAAAAAAGCCTGAGTCAACTCAAGACTGTATCTATATCAACTCAATCCAATGTAATTTGAGTATTGCCACCAAGCGCAAACATCTGAACCTCGCCTTAATGCGAATCAAACAATGGCTGCAACTCCCCCCGTCCCTCGGAACTTGGCACGTTCCGGGCGTAATCCGCACGTTTCCCGCGGGCGCCTGTTGGGGGTCCCCGGCTTCCGCAAAGGCCTTGATGGCAGCGCCGAAGGCCTTGCGATCCAAGTCCAGGCCCTGGCGACACCCCGTCGGCGCCGGCGATTTTTGGACGCGGGGCGGGACTCCCAAAATGACGGGCCCTGGCCCCCTTTGTGTTTTCCCCCCGGCAAAAATGCGGGGCGCCCTCCGCAAAAAGACTTGAAACACCCAGAAATTTGGCTGGTTGCTGAGTTGGGCTTCACGCCCATCGGCAGTTCGGATGGAGGAATCCCTATGAATGGTTGGCGAACCACCAATCCCGGCTGGTGCCTGGCGTAGGTTTTCTCCATTCACAGCAGTGCGCGTTTTTGGTTGAGGCTACCCTTTTCGGGCTGCAAAGCAAAGCCAACGTGGCTGTTTCTTTGGCCCTTGGTCCTCTCAAAGCAAACTTGTGTTTGCTCCTCTCTTTAATGAAACACCCGCAAGCACCGTCCTGAAAGCCCACCCTATTCAGAAACTAGGTCATACCAGATGCACCGAAAAATCCAAAAGAACCGCCCAGCCTGTGCAAAGGAGATCCCAAAAAACAGCCGGACAGCACGGACCCCTGGCCTTGATCCCATGTAATCATGCTTTCAAATCACAAAATGGCCGCAAGTACATGGCACATCAATTTGGTTCAGACATTCCCTTCCCCCATCTGCAAGAAAGCATGTGGGTTGCGTGGTTGATTCCCATTACTGTTTCATCGCTTTCTCGCTGCGTTCATTAGCCAAAAAAAGACCTACCAAACTTCTTGCTTGCCACAACATGATCACCCATCAAAATGACTCAGGTCCGAAACGGAACTCACCGGGGTCCCTGAATTTCCCTTCAAAAGTCGCAATTTCTGGCGGTTTCCATTGGAGGTCCCGAAGAAGGACATGGACGGACCAGATTTGGTGGCCACCCAAAACCAGCCATTCCCTTGCAGCCCGGAGCCTCCACCAAGTTGGACAGCTCCTGAGCGCGCCCAGAGCGCGCCAGCGCGTCTATCAGGCTGCCCAGGCAGGCTGCATCAAGACCCACCTCGGAGTTTTGGGTGTGAGTTTCAGGGTTTTCCTGAAGTCTTTGGAGATGTGTGCGCATTTGCTGACAAGCCCTTCCGAGTTAACGCCGGAGTCTGACTCCACCTGGACATAATTAAAGAGATTCGCCTTTTGGGGGCAAGAATGGGCCAACAAAGGGAAACTGAAGGTCATGTCAAGTCGATTTGCTTTGGACAACTGAGATTGTTGTGCGGGTTTTGGCATTTGGTTGGTCGGGCTTCTGGTTGATTTGGGTAGGACCCTCTGGTGGACATCATACACGTAACGAGCCATCGTGTCTTGTTGCACCGGATACGCAACGGCCATGCAATAAAACCATGTACACACATATATATATATATATTTCTATATATCATGTTTTCGTCCATATTGTGTCTATACCACATAAATACCTCCCACATGCCGAGCTACCTCTGGCGCCAGCCGCTCCAGCAACCGCAGCGTCCAGGAGACGTGTCCACCGCGCGCAGCACAGCTCATCAGCTTCCCCAGGGTCCGCGCACTTGCGTGGACCTCGCAGAGGGCCATGTGGCTCTGTCGCTGTTTGTTTGCGAGGTATCCCTTTTCCTTGGGTCTGAAGGGAAACCAAGAGAGAAACCAAAAGGACGAAACAAACTGGAGGGGATGTCCGAGAATTTCCTGTGAAGGACACCATGTCTAAACATACCTTAAACATATGCCCGCTTCCCTGCTTCCCCTGCATCCCTGCTTGTTTGTTTGTCTGAACTCAATGTTCAAGATGGACCAAACACGGGAAACTCAAAGGTCAAAAGGTCGGCCTTGGGCAAGTGAGGAAAAGAACGCAAACAAGAACGCAAACAAGAACGAATACCCAAAACCATGCCAAACATGTGAAGCTAGCTTCTGTCATTTCTTTCCCGAGCACAAGTGACAATTTACACACGTGTAGAGTATGGATATTATTGCCAATAAACTTAATATGAGAAACTCCATGAGGGTAAAAGTAGACGACGCACTTCGCTTGACAGGGATGTCTAAACCGAAATGGAGCAACTGCGTCAAACACTTTCACCCACAGTGTGAGAAATAGAGATGTACGATGCGAGTTTGGCTCCGGAAACACATGGCAGCAACTAAAGAAGTGATCATAAGCGGTATCGGTTCAGGCCTATCGGTTTCTGCGTAGTATGTAGATGGACAAACCCCTGCGCCGGTCGGGACGGACATCGGCGCTGCAAGGGTGGGTATTTCTTGCGAGGACTTTTCTGGCAAGACAAAACAGGAATTTACGGTGAAATCCTCTAAAAACCTGCCCCGAAACAACCTGATGGTTGACACTGTTGTGGAAACTCCTGGGCAGTACAACGTAACAATATACGTGCTGAGAGCGAGCGCAGCGAGGCCTTTTCTGTGGCGACTCTGGGTATGGAAGAGAAGAGGCCTTGAGCCAATATGTATACGTGATACAAACTGATTGCCCAAAGGACAATGGTCTGCAAAAAACAGAACAAAACAGACACACATTTCTTTTGACTCTTGGCATCGAAATATACTGTCAAGGCTCTATGCCGTAGCCATCTTTTTCATGCGCCGGCTCCGTGGTCGACCGGCCCCTTTTGTCGATTATCCTGTCTGCCGCTGATGCTCATAAGGTCTCTTCTTCATCCTTAGCGTCTGCAATGTAAGATTGATTTGCCTGTGCACAGGCTTACGATTGAGCGGCTTGCCTGTGAGAATGGTCTCCCGTTATCTTCAAGTACATCTGGATCTCCACCTTTCGTTGAATTTATCAAATGTGCGGTACGTTCTCGGCTGGACATTCCTTCACTCCTGTTGGCGCGAGCAGTGCTTTTTGCAGCGTGATGTGAACACGAGTGAGTTGTTATCAAGAATCCAATGATCCCTCTTCACTGCTTCGCTGATCTTGGGATTTGCTGTGTCCTCTTTCGCTGATGACCTGGTTGCAGGATTTGCTGGAGGGAACTTGACGCTTTCGTCGTCATCATAGACAGAATGATTGAGGCCTTTCACAGCGATCTCTCCATGGTTCTTCAACTTCGCCGCGCCTACAAGATCCACAAGACCATGTCCTGACCGGCTGTCTGTTTCACAGGTGATTTTGTCACACTGAAGAGTTCCTCATTTTACCAATACTGAGCAATATCGGTACGGTGCTGGATGTGTCGTGTGCTACCTGGCCTTGGCTGGTTCTCCATTGGCAAAGGCGAACTTGGTATCTGCCGGAATATACGCCAGGATTGCATTGGTATTGCAAAAGTTGGGTTGTCTCGCGGGTTTATGACGGCGCCAGAAGCTTTGTTGCGGGCGGGCCGCTGAGTTTGTGAGCAGAAACTGTATCGTCGTGGATCAGTTTCTCATCGATGGTCTCCTGTTGTTGAAAAGCATCATGACTGGCCATCATCACACGCCCCTTGCCGGAAATCCCATGACTTGAGTGCCAGCCACTTTCACTCCAACTCCATGATGGATCCTAATCCTGCGCGTTCCAACCGGCATGCGAAGGCTTCGAGAGGTCAGCAGCCTGCTGTGTGGTTGGGCACTTTTGCGGTTTCTCTTTTGGGCTTTTCTGCCTTTTCCTAGGCTGTCGTTGTATGATGGATAACCCTTGTTTCCATCCAAAGGGTTCTGACACTTGAAGGTTCCTTTCCTTCCTTTCCTTTCTTTCCTCCCTGTGTTGCGTTCCATTGACAAGCTGTCTCAAATTTTCCAGGTCGTCCGGGTTCGGGAGCTGCAGGGGCGGCGCTCCAGCTTGAGCCGGTTGCTGAGACTGTGCGGCTCTTCTCTGGTTTGCATCTTGCACTGGTTGCGCCGCGATGACGGGCATCAGAGCATTTCACGCTGCTTTCAGCCGGCGTAGCAAGATCTCAAATTTCGAAATGAAAATGAGAAACTCTGTGTTGCATCTTCTATGATTAAAGAACCTAAGACCTAAGGACTAAGGAGTCGATAAAGATACACGCTGGTCGCGCCTTCCAGGAAGAAATTCTTCAGCGTGTTCTTGAAGCAGTTGATTCCTGGTTTTGGATCTCGTAGCAAAGCGTTGTCGAGTAGCTCCCGATACATGAGCGTGAGGAGAGGTCCCCAACGCTCTGATTTTACATTGGTGAAAGAGGCCCCGTCATCAATGAGTTCCTCATCTCTAAACCAGCTGACTTTTCCGTCATACGATGGCGGCTGCCTGGCGGTCGGCCTGCGCTGGTAGGCTCTTCCATGAAGCCTTCTCCATCTGATGACATCGTGATGATTCATGTTGGAAAACCTGGTGCCTGATCCCTAAGGAGGAGAAACCCACTGTGGTAGCAGTCTCTAATGGCCCTTGATCTGTTTCGACAAGAATCTGATGACCTGATGTTTGATACTGTTGTGGACATCCCTGGTCAATACAATGTAAGAATATGTGCTGAGAGCGAGCGCAGCGTGGTCTTTTCTATGGCGCGTATTAACTCTATGGTAGAAAAAGAGGCCTTGAGCCAATATGTATACGTGATACAAGCTGATTGCCAGACCAGGAGGGGGAGCGTAACTCCCCAATGAAAAACAACAAATAAGGCCTTAAGGGCTTAACAACTTGTAGGCTTTTCCAGGGATAGCCCCGCCCATAGCCGCCCAGAAAGGGGTCAATGATAGAGGGAAACCAAGAGAAAGCCAACCACATGTATCAATTTTGCCGGTCGTCCAATTTCGAGACAATGACATATGCGAGTGCTACGTCGGACTCAAATGATGAGAATGATGTGGCGGGGTACCAACACATCAAAATAGCTTATCATAGGACATGATGTTAGTATATTCAAGCCACTTAGGCAAACTTGTTGATTTCTATAACAGTAAAGTCGTGCCGGCTGGCCCTGAACAGTCGCACATCCAGCTTCCATCACCACAGTCACCTCCAGTTACACGTGCAGCAGGTAACCAAGGAGGTTTCCGCCCTTTAAGAACCATAGGACAAATGGCGAAGGGTTGCCTACCATGGGGCAATCTGGCCCCATCATTTCACTCTCAAAGTCACCCCATCTCAGGTCTATTAAAGAGAAACACCTCTTCTTGACTTTGAAAAACTCTAGAAACAGTGCCGGGTGGGCCTGGGCTTTGTTTTGAGGGCACCCCAAAACTTTTGAAAGGTTTTAAAGGGGACACCAAGAGGAAAACCACCTAGGTCCTCCAGTAGAGAGGTTAGAATAAGGGTACCAACTTTTTCTGCATTTTATTTTAGTAGGGGAACCCTCCCCCAAAAAGGGCACTAAGGGCACTACTGTGGGACCTAGCCATTTTGGGGAGACCTCCATGAGTTTGACCAAGGTGCGCCCTCCTGCTGCATTCGGCTGAAGCACATCAACGCCTCCCGCAGCTGCCCGGCGTTGGCGCAGGCCTAGCCGGAGGTTGCCGCTTTGAGGCCCTCTCGGGTTGCTTAGGACCTGGTTGGAAACCAGGGCTTTTTCCGGTCCCCCTTGTTTTTGGGGGGGTTGGTTTGGCGAGAAAATGACACAAATCGAAGAGGGGCAAATATATGGGGTCCTATTTTATAAGCCGCGCCCATTTGGCATGTTACCCTGAATCCGAATCAAACTTGAATCTTCAAACATCGCCCTGAAAGAAACGTCGCCTGGAATTGGGCCCGAAGTGGCGATCACCGAAAGGAGACCATGTTTCTCCAACCCGAAACCTAGCTTTTGGACCTCCATCTTGCCTTTTGATCGTCTGGTTTGTGGGCCCAACCAGGTTGTCTCGGAAAAAAGAAGAAGGAAAAACCAACAACAGGGTGCCCCTCCAAAAAAGCCACGCGCCCCTCCCTCAAGAGGAGACTCCTCTAAACCTGGGCCCCTTCATGTGGGTGTATTTTTGAAGGAGAGGTAGTCCAAACTACATTTGGGGGTGATTTCTCTTCTACCGTTTGATTTAAATGCTGTCACTGCGCACGGGTTGCATGATGAGCTGCACGTGGGTGTTCTTGACACATCTTCAGGCTGTTGCATGCTTATACCACAAACATACACACAAGCAGCACGTTAGGAGAACATCGCTCACTTCCTGAGTGGATTGGCCGGAAAAGTAACTTGTTGTTTACCAGCCAAAAAAATGGTTCGAGCCCAAAAGCATAAAGTCCGAAACGGAACTCAAGGAGCGGGACGACCAGGCCGAGTCTCAACCTAAACACCTCAAAGACCGCCTGGCTCCCCACGGGGCTTTTCGAGGGGTTTCCAGTGGGTTTCCAGCCCCGGGCCTTGATCTGGGTGTTGTGCAGCAGCCGGAGATGCCACCTGGGCACCTGGCCCCGCAAGGCCTGGAAGCAGCGCTCAGCGCAGGCCACGTGCCCCATCTCGGTTTCAGCGCCACGCGGAGCGGATGGGGCCCGGGTCCCAGGACTCGGCTGCTTTCTGCCCCCCTGCCAAAAGGTTTAACATTGAGTGGTTTCATGGAAAACCCAGTAGTTGGCGGCAAGTTAAAGTCCTGACATGCAAGCAAAATGCACCAAAGAGTAGATTTCCGTGGCAAAGCAACAAGGGGCGCCCCGTCTTCTCAGATGCCCGGTCGATTTCCGTGGGAAAAAGCGAAAATTGGCATCCTTCTTTGGTTGGTTGAGTTTAACAGGAACCCCAAACCCAAAAAAGTGTGGGAATCCAGTGGGCAACTGGGTGTTTGTGGCCTCGGGATGACACCCAGACTTGGGGATTGCCTTTGGAAAACCAGGGCGCCCTTCTTTTTGGTGGCTTTACAAGAGAACCCCTCCAAGAGCAAAAAAAGGCACGGAAATTCAAACTTAAGGTCAAGGTGTCCCATAGTGGAAGGGGCCATAACTCGGAGGTAAATCACAAATGGTCAAGATGAGCTTGACTCTTGAATCCGGCTGATTCAAACAGAAAACCAAGCAACGGCGGAGGAAGTTCCATGCTCACTGCGCGAATCGAAGAAAACACGTGTTCCTGTGTATCTCCCTTCGTTGTCTCAAGGGCTACACCTTTAGAACAATATGTGTTGCGAAGAGCACCTGTAGGGCGGACGGAACATAGACATTCTAAGAAAAGTACAAAATAGCCCTAGCAGCTCAAGCTGCAGTGAAAGGGCTCCTTTCCTATGAATCAGCACACGGAAGTTGAGTCGGCATGGCAAAGGCAAGGCAACCAACAGAAGGTGTTGACAAGAATCATCTTAGGGAGCCTATCAATGCACGGCTACAGGGTTTGCAAAGCCCTCAGAATTGCTGATCACGTCCTTCGGCATGGATATGACTCCAGCTCAATGCAACCCATTGTCAATGTCCAAGGATAATCATGTTCCATTGCCTGAACGCATTCAAACTGAGGTCTGACGGACATTTCTTATAATGACTATGTTCGGGCTGCAGACAAGCCCAGCATCGATTGAGGCTTGCCTCTGCGTGCTGGTTCATCTCTTCCAAGAGCGCTTCCACCGACCTGAGCACGACTATGCCCTTGAAGGCTGTGTATAGAAGAAAGGTGCAAAGAGCAAAGGAAGGCTCGAAAGCAAGGATAATCTTTGCATGCACGAGAAGCAGAAAGACCTCTTGAAAGGGCAGAAAGTAGCATGTGAGTCCTTGACAGACGCAGACCACCTCAAAAGTATCTTGTTTCGCTTATCTCTATGGACAAAGCAGCGCCCAAATCAGCAACAAGGCTCATGCAAGTGACATCCTGAATCAAAAGCAGCAACAGAAGGTAATTAGGTAAGATGCTACTCCCTCCCCAAAATATCGTGATCTTTGATAACCACCAACAATTTCCTCTTAATGGGCCAGGCAGAACAGGCCAAGGTCCAATCTGGCGATGCCTCTGGGTGCCCGGCGGGCTGCATCCCCGCAATGGCCAGCGCATGCCGAGCGCGTCGAAGCGAAAGGCGCGTCCGGCACCGTGCCCCGTTGCTTTGGAGGCATCAAGGATTCGATCTGTGAGTTCTCTAAGTTGTGTTCATCCAAGTTACACAAATCTGTGTTAAAAGAACATGGAAGAATGAATTTCAGGCAATGTCAGTGTGCATAACGTATAGGTGCTTGACAATGATGACTGGCAGAAGGTATTTGTGATGAGACTGTTGGCCATAGGAACAAACATGTACCCGAAGAAAGCACCGTTGCTTAGAACAAGGTAGTAAGAGCCCTGCTAGCAAAACAATGGACATATGTTGGTTGGAGAAGGAATCAAGCTGCATAAGTCGCAAATTAAAGGCACTTGGTCTGATCATTCCTGAGAGACTGCTGCTCTCTTTTGTACGCCATCCGCACATGTTGGACATACTCGTCTTAGTCTTAAGTGCACTTGGCACTTGGTGTCAGAGTGTCGAAATGTCTTTCGCCTCAAGCGCATGCGGGTGCTAACCATGAAAGCATCTAAGCAGCAGGCATCATGGCATTTGTCAAGGATTGCCCAATGTGCAACTCCGTGGACAGGTCGCTGATTCTTGACACATACCCAAACCCTTGGGTACACAAAAATCAGGTGTCTAGATTCTGGTGCCATACTCAGTCTAGACAATAACATATTTTCGAGGAGAAAAGGCGGCCGTGCAGGCAAGGATGGATTTTAGGCAGGGAGGGTCATGACCAGCATCCAAAGGCTGCCTTTTCCCATAAACAAATTGTCACAAAATTGGGGCCCTTGGTATCCGCTTTCCAAGGCGTCAGGGTTTAAAAAAGACAACCCCGCCAGTTCAAATCCCTGGCAATGGAGGTGGCTTGAAAGGTGCTAGAGGGTTTCCCTGTAGGGACCCTCGTCTCACGCCCCCTTGATCATACGGTCCATTTCTGAGACTCACTGCAGCTTAACCTGGAACCCAACAAACCACGCTCAGAGGCAGCAACTTTGGGGGAGCCCCCCAAAAAACCTTGTTGGGTTCCATTTCAATTTGCGGCGGCTTGGGATTGCGAGCACCACCTTTTTGCCGCGTTTTGGCGCTCCCAGGGTCCAAGTCAGCCTCGTGGGCGTCAGCTTGGCGTCGATGCACAGCAGCCGCTGCGCGGCGGCCCACTGCTGAAATCGCTCGCAGAAGCCCACCAGCAGGCCCCAGCCGAGGAGGTCCTGAGATGGGCTCGTCTTGTGAGGGTATCGGTGTGTGTGTGTGTGTGTGAGGGAGTTCTTTGAGCTGGTAGACTTTGTGGGGTTGGCTGCTTTTTTGAGGGAGGGGGGGTGTTTGTTTTGAGTTGGTACCCCTTTTTGGGGTTGGCTTTAAAGGGAAACCAAGAGGAACACCGTTGCGCCATCCTTGAGGGTCCAGGACGATGTAGGGCTCCTTGTGCAGACATTTAGATCTGTCGCCCCTTCTCGTCCCCAGCTCCGGAGATTGCTTCCGCACAGTTTCGAGAGGAAATTGAGTTTGGAACTGCGCGTCCGAATTTCTGCCGGGTTCGTTTTGTAAGGCGGTCCTGCCTGCTTTTATCAGCTTTCCCACAGGCGGACCAAGAATGGATGCTTGAAGGGTGAACCAGCTGATCCGGGCAACAAAAACACCCTGAAATCCCCATGGGTATTTCCGCCAACCGCTTGACGCGGCAACATGCTCCGCGGCTTTCTGGCGACTCGATCTCTCGGAGCGAGGCGCCACCTTCAGCCGCGGCCCCAGCGCCAAATGCAGAGCTCTCTGCCAGCTGAAGGCAACAGCCAAAGCGCTGTTCAGCGCGACCACGTTCAGCTGGATCTGACCATGGCATCTCGGTGGTTGGCAGGAAGGTTTCAAAGCCAACCGCCGAAAAAGACTGGACTCCTTAACTCAAAACCTCAAATGAAAGAGAGGTTTTAGGAGTTGTTCAATCTCCGGCGTTCAATTTGTACTAGTGAATTGGTCGAGTCGTCTTGACAAATTGCCAGTCCCCTTGTGACCGGCTTTCCTTGTTCAAACAAATCCTTCCAGCTGATCACCAGCACTGCACCAGGCAAAATGCGGAAGCCCAGTGAGTATCTATGAGATGTGCTTTAAGCAAAACATTGTGGTGTTCCCTTTGGTTGCCCTTTAAAGCAACCCCAAAAGCTGGTTCTTCTAAACAAGACACACCTATGAGATCTGGTGGAAAAAAACAACTTCATTGAATCTAGGTGGGCGCCGAAATGGCGATGCATTTCTAGGATCCTCGATGGGTACATAACGGTTTGCACTGAACCAGTGTTCATCAGTACATTGATGCTGGTTCAGCCTGATCACAATCCGTAATTCGCTAAATCCTTGATCTCGTTGGGAATCTTCTTAATCCGGAATCGGCGCTGCCAAGACTGATTCAAAGCCTTCTTGCTGGAGCACTGAAAATTCATGTAACCAAATACCCAAAATCAATAAACCACATAGTCCAATCCACAAATCGCATAACCCGCAGTCCGTTAAGCTAGCCTCAGCCAGGGGGGTCTTTTTGCCACCCTTTGCGAAAAAATGGGCGAATAGTCATGTGTTCCCGTTGATTTCCCTTCAAACCACCAAAAGGGCACCGAGACTCAAAAAACACACACACACGGTTACAATAGCTGTGGGCCTTTTTTCGGCTCGGTATCTTTCGTTTTGCGGTTTTGTGTAGGACAACCAAAGGGGTTGTCCCCCCCTTTTCGGCCAGTCCGCACCCACATGGCTCACGTGGCCTGCTGGTGTCGCATGGCCTCCAGCAGCTGCCCGGCGGTGCGCCAGCGGCGCCAGCTCAGCGCGCTGAGCGCAGCGCTGAAGCTCACCACGTCCGGGCGAGTTTGAGCCTCGGCCGCGGTCAGGCCCATGTGGGGCCTGGAGTTGATCCACATTGGAGGTGGGGATGGCGGGTGGGGATCCACACAAGGATCATGCTGAATAGATTAAACCTCAAAATGGGGGTCTCAGTTGCCCAAAGGGCCTGGAAACATAAGGTTACCCTCTCATCCATTGACATAGTTTCATGTTAATGGACGGAGGGTACTAGTAACCTCTTGGAACCCTGACTCCTGACTAAATATGGACCACATCATCAGGGAAGCCAAAAGGTCAAAAGGTCGATTCGCTTTGGGCAACTGAGCAAAAGCGGCTGACCCAACGGCCATGAAATGGCTAAAAGGCTTTGGGGCTATGCGGCCATTTGACAGAAGTCCATTGGGGGGGGGGTGCTGAAAATGGGCCGAGCGTGAGGCGCTTTGTTAATTCTATGACCCCAAAACAAACAACACAAAGTGTGTGCCACTATGGTCCCCAAAAGTAAAGTCTCAAGAAACTCGGGCAGTGAGAAAGATATATTCATGCTTTTTGCCCAGTCTCCAAACATGAAATCCGCCAGGAGGCGCAGAACGCGAGCACCCTTGAAGTCATGTCTCACGAGCTTCGTTCTAAAGACACGGAGCGATCCCTCGAGAAAGAAACATGCCGAAGTGGCCACTGCCACTTGCGTCTACGCCTAGGTCATTCAGAGTGGCTTGCCTCTAGCAGGGTGCATGGGCTCGATCCCCCAGCACAAAAGCTTCAAACCATCACACCCGACATCCATGCTTGTTGACACGGCTGTGAACAAACTGGGTTGTTCAAAAAACAAAAAATCCCTAATCCGTCATCCTAACGCCACAAGGGAAGCCACCACAATGGCATGAATACCCGCATCGAACACCAGCCCAACAGCAGATCAACAAGATTCAACAAGACTAAGCCCACCAACATGGGTGTGGTCTCTTTTCTAAGGCTCGGTACCCCCTTTCGGGTTGGAATTTGAAGGGAAAGCCCCAGGACACCGCAACCATTTTAGTCCACGAAAAGAAACGACGACCCGCCATGTCGATGTTTCGTGTCCTGGCTTCGCCATGCTTCGCCCATAGTCCCACTTCCCCCTGTCAGTAAAAGGTCGCCTGCAGCTCCGCCAGCACGGCCAGCGCTGCCTGACACGGGCTCCGACGTCAGGGCTCCCAGCTCAAGAGTTGAGCCTTGCCTATATCATGCCGAGTGGCATGCCCCTTTACCAAACACGATTGGGTTCTCGGCGATATTCCCATTCCGAGCAAGACAAAGGCAAACAGAGGTAACACAACCATACCATCTTTTGGGTCGGGCAGTTCCTCCAACACAAGTTTGAACACACACACACACACACCAGTCATGCGGCTGTTCCTTGCCGCGTGTTGGCATGATGATTCCGTCCATGTGTTCCTTCGCTTGTCTCGTTCTCGGACCGCTTACCTGAGCGCAGCCTCCTATGAAGACCTGTGTGATTCTAGGCTAAACATCAAACGGCAGGCTAAGTTATCTTTGCATTGTGAAGCACCTGTTGCAAATATGCAAAAAAAAAAACAACACAACGCAACACCACTCCACTCCACTCAACTCAACTCAACTCAACTCATTCGTGCCGGCGGCTCCATGGCCCAATAGGCCACAACCAAAGCAGGTCATTCTAGCCAAAATACATGCATGAACTAGCAGCCCAGCTTGTGGCAAAGTCCTGGCCTCATCCTGCCCTGCTTTCTCACAAGCACTGATGGCACCTCAATCAGAATGGTGCGGTTGCAGTCTGTCATGTGGGTACAGCAAAAGTCGTCTCTTTGTTTGCCTGGGACAAGAAACCATAAAGCAAGTTGTTCTGGTTGGGGGGATGTTTGACACATTGCATGCCCTCCCACCTCTGAACGTTTGGTTTCACAGCTTCATGTTGGTTTGGAGTCCAGCACGCCAATCACGATTGGACCAAGACACGTGTAAAGTACTCCATTGAAGCCCCATCATTTCTAAATGTTCAGGGGTGGTCATACAAGGGGCTCATATGTCATTCTTTGCCATGGAAAATGGCAAGACTGGTCTTCCTTAGCTTCAATATGCCAATAAAACAGGGGGGGAAGCGCCACTGAGGCAGACGCTGTTGTAGCTGATGAGGTTTGGTGTGACTTTGCGGCTCCCCATGCGCGTCAGCAACAGCAGAGCCATGCGCCACTGGCTGCCCTTCTCACAAGCGCTGATGGCGCTGCTGTAGCAGATGACGTCCGGCGACATGTCTTCCACCGACGTCAGCAGGCTCAGAGCCACCTCCCACTGGCCGCCTGGAGGGGACCCAGGCGAGGTGAAGAAACACGCATTGGGAACCGAAGCCCGGGTCGTTTTCCCCGCTCTCCTCTTCCTGAGCCCTTAAAAATCCCCTTTACGTGGAAATAATCACCCCAAAGGCAATTTAGAACCCCCCCCCAGAGGCCATTTAGAGGCCCCCTGAATTCCACTCACTTCAAGGGCCCGAAACGATCCTTCCTTTCGTCTAATTAAAACGCGCTCGTTGTTCGCCTTTCTCGGCCGCGGAGATGGCGGAGCTGTAGGAGATGAGGTCGGGGCTCACACTGCAGCTGGGCATCTTCGCCAACAAGCCCAGCGCCGCCGCCCAGTCGGAGACGGCCATGGCGCTGTTGAAGCTCACCACGTCCTGGGAAACGACGGCCGTAGAGTGCGGGGGACCCCCCAAAATCCGTGTCATGTTGGTTTGCCTGAATCTACCACCCTCAAAGGGGGAGATATGATCAAAAGCAGATATGTTTGAAGCGAACCAACCACGTATAGCTGCAAAAGCCTGGTAAATGATGGGAGATCCCTTTGCAAGGTTGTTTTCGAAAACGGACAAGAGGAACCAAGAACATGGGTGGGTCTTTGAATAGGGGATCCCACAACATGGTGGCTTTCCTTGTTGTTTCCGTTTAAAACATCACCCCAAAAAAGGGCACCCGCAAAAAAGACAGGTCCACATATTTCTATATACCCCAAAAGCTGACCTCCCCTCCCATGAAACTGAGTCCCCAGAAGCTCAGAGGTTCCGTTGGGATACCCTCTTCACCTACTCCTCTGCGCACCTGTCAAGTTGTGCGAGCGTACCAAGTGGGTGGCAAGGCCTGGCCTGGTGTTGTAAATTCCACGGATTAATTGATTTTTTGGGGAGGAAGCTGGCAAGCAGTGCACTTGGACTTTCCGAAGATTGGATTTACGTTTAAAAGCCAGTCTCAGACAAGTGGGCGAGCATACTCAGCTACATAAGTCATCTCTGCGCGCTGTCTTGCAGGCAAGTGCTTTTTGCCGCAAACCAGGAACGAAGGCAACCAGCCCCTGAAAACCTGCGCAACTTTCAGAATCACTCCAGGAAAGTCCGCACATGTTCTTCCCACTAAAATGGTCCAAACTGAGTCCAAGCCCAAAAAAGGGGCTCAAGTCCGAACCGGATCTCCGGGCGTGAGGTCTAGGTTGACCAGGGCCGCGCCACATCGGATCTCGACGCCGGGCGAGTTGGTGCCAAGCGTCGGCCATTTGGAGCTCCGCCATCCGCTCCAGAAGGCTCAGCGCGAATTGCCACGCTGCCGCGCTGATGACGCTGTTCAGGACCACCGTGTTGGCCTGCACCTCAGGAGTGAGGACTCCTGCAAAAAAATAACACACACACAAACAAACACACACGCACACAGGCGCACGCACACACACACACACCAGCCAGTCAATGTTCATTGTCCATCATTGCGTCTCACATAATGACATTAGATTTTGGTGAGTCAGTAGTCCCCTTTCCCCTTTTTGTGTCTGTATGAGTATCCCCTCACTACAGATGACAGTATCTGTTGATCGTTGCTTGTACAGGAACCTGAGAGCGCTGGCGTGTGTCTTTCTCCTGACACCTTACGCACGGCATACGTAAGTAATAAGGGACAAAACGCTTTCTGCAATAAGTAATGCCGCAAAAGTGGAGCCTTGGTGGTGCATTCGAGCAACACCCACTACAAGAACCCCCGACAAAAACGTCCTTTCTCAGCTCAGTGTAGCCCTGACGTCTCTACTTTGTGTTTGATGAGACATTCAAATGGGTGCCCTTATGGGACTAGACATCTGATGGACAAGCCTCAAGTTGAGGCGTGTATGGTTGTTGGGCTGACACCGTGGATAACCCAAATCCTGCATCACTTTGAAACCATGGGAAATCTTTGTGTGCTGGTATTTGTTTAATCGGCAAACAAGTCATTCCAGGGCTTCTTCCGTGATGCGAAACGGATTTCGTCCATCCGCAGTAGCTTCCCGCAGCCAAAGCTACCTCTGCAAAAAGACAACATAGCGAGGGGTAATCCTTTGGAGAAGCGAAAAAAGCAGAGCCAGAAAGGCTTGATGCAATTTTATCGTATGGCTACTTGTGATGTGTTTTGTCAATTTAGTATTGCAATGGCCAAAATCAAACCATCAAAACACAGTTGCGTGCATAGTATCTGCATTTGACTGTGTCATGTTCTGTCTGCGTACAGCAAATGCGTGAGTGTCCCATGTCACCAGCTGTATAGTGGCTGAATTGGGTCTTGCGATAGGACACCACTGCAAGGGACACCACGAATTTTCTCTGGAATAAGCATTTCGGCTTTAGCGAACCCAGGAAAACAATCAACACAGCAGCAAATGGGTGTGACTTTCTTTGAGAGTACCCCTGTTTCGGGGCTTTATAGGGAAACCCAAAGAAACCGACAAATCTGGGGGTCCGCACAAAAAGACACAGCAAATCTCGTGCCAAAACATCTGCCAGAATACAGCACGCCACCCTCGCGTGACCCATGTGCTCCAGCAAATCCAGTGAAGCTAGCCATTGCCTGAGAAAGCTGTTCAAGGGTTGGGCCAAATCCCCGATCAAAACCATCCCCCTTTGGGTTGCATTTTAGGCAAGTGTTGGGCCAAAAAATGTGTTTAAACATGTTCAACCCCCTATCCAAACAACCTTTCTGGTTTCTCGTTTAGGGCGTATCAGGGGTTTGCTTTAGGTGTACCGGCGCTCAAGACCCACAGCTGGCGCCTTGCAGGGGCTTGTTTGACCTGCCTCCTGGTTGGTCAAGCGACCGGGCCTTCAAAGAGTCGTGGGCCAACAAAAAAAGTAGAAACACACCACAAACCCCTTGATGGGCAAGTCGTCTGTGAGTCACATCTTGGACGCAGTGCAAATGGCATCAAAGTTTTGCGAGCCTAGTTTCAACAGCTTAATTCCTTCTGACATGACAAGACATCCTTGCACACGTTGCGCATCGGTAAAGTCAGTGTCTACACCGAGTACTGGGCAAAAACAACACTGCAAGTAGTGTGTGCTTCTCAAGCTGCCACACAAAGCACAAATGTGGAAAAAGCTACCTCAATTCCAAAACCGGAAGTGAGGGATCCCCAAGAAAGAGACAAATCAAACTCGCTATACATATAAGCAGCTCGGCATAGGTTTGGCAAATGAATTTTTGTCAGATTCTGAAGTTCTGAAGATCATCCTATGGCATTATCTTCATTGTGGAGGCAATCCGCGCAACTCGGCTAGCAATGCTCTCAACACTCAAAGTTGTCTTCTGCACATACTATGGTTTCGGATGTGCTTCACAAATTCCTCGCCAAAGCACTTGCTGCACCATTGCCACAATGCTAATGTTTAAAAGCCAAGTGCAAGCTTTTCCGACACAAACAACTGCAGTGTTCAGTAGAGGTAGAATGGGCTCCCAGAAACATGTCTGATGTTCCCTAATGACAAACAAGCTGGAGTTTGAGAAGAATTGCCGCAAAACTGAACTGATTGGGAACATGCTTCTCACAACATAAGCTGGTGCGACGAAGCTGATTATCATATGAACAAGTTGTATTGCGTGTAACGTTCGGCAACATTCACATAACGTGTTCATTCTAAATAGCTGAGCACACATATGGGCGTGCCTTGCTTGATGGCTTTAAACGGAAGCCAAAGGAATCCCTTCCATATTGATTCAGCATACATACCCAACAAGCTTTTAGGATTTTTCCGCGGGACAAGTCTTTGGAGATGTGGAGGCACATTGCGGACAGGCGCTTCGGAGATAAGGCTGAAGTCTGACTCACTTACCCAAAAGGCAAACAAAAAACAAGCCATGGCTAAAAATGGTCAAAGGGAAACCTAACAGGTTAAAATGTCGATTCTTTGGGCAGGTGCGCTGAGGAGGTTGCAAAGTTGCTGGGTCAACTTGGATTATTATATGCATATATTGTGTGCAACTACACAGCGCGTGCACAAACATATGCCATGTTGCTGCCATCCAATCTGGAACATGCCCTGGTAGGTATGGTATGTAGGCAGGCATGTATGTGGGTGGTATGTATTCAATAGATACATATGATGTCACGTGTATAGATATATGTATATGCAGACTTGCGTTGAACATATTCATTGCTTTGCATTACAGTACATTGCATTACACTTCCCTTATTCTATGCACACGCCACATCCATACATGCATGCACCTAAATTCCATAGGGGTAACGGTTACACATCTGTGTGTGTGTGCGTTTAGGGGACCCCAAAAACGTGTGGCTGTTCTTTCCCCATTGAAACCACAAAAACAAGGTACCCAAAAAGACACGCCTGTATGGATTGGTTCTTCGCCTTGTCGCTCGCTTCGGACCAAAGGTGCGAAGCCCTCTGATAGGCCGCCGCCACCGACCCACAAAGCACCACATCCGCTTTGGCCAGAGACAAAGCCGACGGCCAACGCGCGACCGCGCCTCGTGTCTGTAAACATGGGAACCAAGGGTTGGGTTACAAAAATGGAAATTCTACCGGAAAACCGCGTCAAGAAACCGAGCACTAAGAGGGGTTCTGATTGTGAGACACCCATGCGGCGATCGCAACTCGCACGGTGAGCTCAGTGGTCAGCGACGTTTGCGGCTTACATACTGTGAATGGACAAAACCCACGCCAGGCACCACTTGGTGGGTGGTTCATCTCAGTGTTCAACTCGGGTTTCATCCATCCCAACTGGTGCCGATCGGCGTGGATGTTGTCCATCCACAGGGAACCCCATCCAATATGGACCAAATGGCCATCCAATTTGTCTCTCGTAACATGGTGCGGTACAAACTTTGCAGGGGGCCTACAAGTTGGTTGGGGTGTACCCCATTTTGGAGCCACAGCTGTGTGAGGCAAAAACTATGAACGATACGCTTTATTCCATTAAAGGAACCTTCATCATGAGTGATGTAGTTGCAAAAACAACTTGCAGGGGCACATATAACAGGGTGCTTGAAGCAACAAAAGCAACTTCTAAAAGGCTGCTGGAATGATTCGCAGTCCCTCTAAATCTGGTTTCAAAATACCCACAACCCCATTCACCCCACCTATCTTCCATTCATCAACAAGGTGATTTGCCTGGGTTCCCATGAATTGCTATTGTGGATGGACAAAATCCACTTCACACCAGTGCCAGGGATGGATGAAACCTACAAAGCCTATCTGTATAGACATATAGATATATAGAGATACTGGGTGATGATCGGCGTGGATCCACAGTATCGGTCACGCGGATGTTGTCCTTCCACAGTGGGAACAAACTGAAAATCAAATTGGTTGGAATGATAGTGAACATGAAAATGGTAAACTTGTTACCTAGGTCCTCCAGTAGAGAGGCCAGAATAAGGGCACCCTTTCTTCGGTAGTCTTTTGTAGTAGGGCAACCCTCCCCCAAAAAAGAAACGGTAAAAGGGCACTACTGAGGACCTAGTCACAGAACAAAAGGAGGATATCGAACCCCCGCGGTGCTTCCCTCCGAGTGAGTCCCCACACCGGGCCGCTGAGGGAGATGGCATCCGGCGCCAGCCGCAGCAGCGCCATGCGCGAGACCAGGCCGACCCCCTGCTGCCAAGCGCCCGGCTTTAGCGCGCTGTTGCAACCTCAGACAAAATGGCCGTGGGTCAAAAATCGGGCAACCCCAACATGGAACCAAAAATAGGTACCCAAAATGGCTTGCCCTGGTAAATGGAACCAAAGACTAAAACCTGCGGACCCCTGGCTTAATTTTGACCCAGGCAACAAAGACTAAGTGGACCGGCATAAAAGATGGTCAGCCCCAGGCAACAAAAACCATTAGGTGGATTGGCAAAAAAAGATGGTCTTCCCCGAAATGGGCACTGGGCCACAGGGTCCAATGCAGGCAAGGCAAACATACAAGTAAGCTCTGATGCCCGCTGGATTTCCATGGGGAGAAAGGAATTGGCATCTTTTTTGGGTTGGTTGACTTTAGAGGGGAAGCTGTCCCAAAAATAGGAAAAAAGAATGCACCACTCGGCAACTGGGTATGTGGATTGGCAAAAAAGACGGCGCTCCCCCAAAATGGACACTGGGTCCAATGCAAGAAAATTGAATTGAACAGCTTGCTTGTTCGGCTGTCTTTCCTGAATGACCAAATGAGCAAGAGATAGCCAATTCACCACTACCGGCAATGTATTCCTTGATTTTGTTGGGAATTGAGTGAGTTATCCCATGCCCCGCCCCAATTCGCCATACAGGGGTTGGGACCCAATACACTTCTGAATAATATGGCGACATAATATATATATATATATATATATCATGTCTCCCTTATAATCATGACCCAAGCTAGTTGAAACACTCCATGCAGCCCCAGTCTATTTAGGGCTCTCTAGTCCTTACTTGCCCTGCTTCTCAAACTTGGAGACCCTAGTTTCAACTACTCCCCGAACAATGTAACGGAAAGAAAAGACAAGGGGGGGGGGTCCAATTCCCAAAAGAAGATCTGAACCTCTACAAATCGCTTTTGGGGATCCATGTAGGGAAGTAGATTCCTGTCCCTTCGCCGGTGAACAAATGGGGATGCCCGAAACCCGTGGACTTGTGGTACCAACATGGTCATCAAGGGCACTTGTCCAGCCCCCCATTTAGCCCTATGGTACTCGTACCGCCCATGAAACGGCCTGTTTTTCCTTTGTGGGTGCCCTCAAATTGGTTCTGTGTCCCTTTGGGGAACCCTTTGCCAGCAGCCTTCCGTTCGTGGGAGCCCTTCCTCGCTTGACTCAGGCCTAGGGCCCGTGCTGATCAGATCCGGCTGCAGCTGGCACACAGCGCACAGGAGGCCCAGCGCCTGCTGCCAGCGGCTCCTAGGCGAAATGGAGGCGAGCAGCCTGGTTCCCATCTCTGAGGTTCAAAGGGCATTACCAAAAATCATACCCCTCTTATAACCCAGATGAAGTAATTATATAGCATCAACTTGCTATCACAACAGCAACCAAAAACTGTCCAATAGCCACTAAAACGGTTGGCTTCCTTTTGGTTTCTCGTTCAACAGGGGGGGGTCCACCATTTTTAGAACTCTCCCCGAACCCTTGCAAAAGCCCCGAATGACCCCCAACCCTGGAAGTTGCACTCATTCTATCGCCAGGTTATTTACGGTTGCAACCCATTGGCGGGGGCCCTCCCTCCCCCATGATCCAAATGTGGGACCCAAGCAGGTATAGCGGTTCAAATGAAATTTGGTTACCTTCCATGAGGCCTCCCTTGAACCACATGAACAAGATAGCAGTCTCCTCCGAAGGGTTTGGGCATCAGAATTGATGCCTCATCGAGCACAATTCCGTGAGCCAAACCAAATGGCTAGGGTTAGCCCTTTGGAGGAATAACCAAGCCTGGACCCCAAACTGGGAAACCAAGGGATAGATCAAAAGGTGAATCATCATCATCCAAGCCTAGACTGCAAACCCAGGAGATGAATCAGAAGGTCACAGAAGGTCCCCATTCTCTTCACCGTTCTCCTAGGTTTCTGCTTTTTTCTCAACAGAGGGACTGCTGAGCAGATCTGTTAGAGGAAACTGGTCTTCCGGCAGGGTCCCTGTGAGGTTCCATGCTTGTCTTTGGGTGCTAAATTGCAATCCGGAATTTGTTTTTCAACCAAAATTAGCCATACCCTTTTGGTTTCCTTTGCAAATTGACACATACTGACAACTTGACACCTAGAACCAACACAACTGAGGCGCAGCGAAGCCAGTGCGATGTTAAACACGATCACGTTCAGCTCAAGCTGCAAGGGCCTGCGAGGGGAGTTGGAACACGGTTCCTCACAACAAGTCATGCGCAAGGGCCGAAGGACTGTAGAAAGACAAGCCGTCTACGATCTTGAAGGGATAAGTGGCTATCCCTCCGAAACCAAGTCATGCCAACCCCTGACTGATAATTGGCCCTACCTTTTTGTCAAAGGAGTTATTGCTCGGAGATGCTTCTAAGCGACTCCCCCTGTCCGAGAGCCAGCAGGTGCGTTCATCAAGAGTCAACTCGAAACTCCGCACAGTTCGCGTTGAACCCCCCCAAGTATACATATGGGGTAGAGGAACCCCGACGCAACTCTTGTTTGAGATCACTCTTCAAAGGTTCTGATACTTCTCTTTTGAGCAGTGACTGGTCTTCTGGTGTGGCTCCACACACCCTTTAGAAAAGCTCCTGTGGCATGCTGGGAGGGACATCCCTACCTCAGCGGGACAGGGCGGGGGCCCCAATTGCATTGTCTAGTCCTCCTGAAGGGGCAATGAAACGGTAAACCGAGATTTTCAGGAGTGAGAATCCCCACTCCCCAATTCCATTAGCGGGATGGGGACATGGGTATGTCTCGAAACAAGGAAGCCCCAACAATGGTGATTGTTCATGAGGTTTCGATTGAAAACAACATCCAAAGAATACTCTCCAAAAAAACATGGACAAACCCAATTACACCCATATTCTGCGAGAAACAACTGGGTCATAGTTCCCTTGGGGACCCTTGTGGCCTAAATTCCAAAAGGGGTTGATGACTGCACCTACCACCCCCCCAAAGCAACATCCAAATGGTGCCCTCCAAACAAAACACACCCGTCTGGGTTCGCGTTTTGTTGAGGGTAACCCTTTTCAGGTGTTTCCCAACAGCCCAGCAGCTGAAAGCTTTGGGGTGACTGCCCAAATAATCTCTGGGGAGGAGCGGCTCCGGGCTCGGGAGTTCCAGCAGTTCCAGGGCTGATAGGGGATACCACCTGGGCTTTGTGTTGATTCTGGAAACCATACAAAGAAGAGTTCCTGCATTCTCGCGTGCCGGTCCAAATCCCCAAAAATTTGGGGCGAGCCAGACTCCCAACTCAGCCCGGCCTTAGGTTGTCCAGTACTTGCAGCACCGACCTCCACTGGCCCTCTCGCGCAAAGGCGCTCATGGCCCTGCCAGCTGCCCGGTTGAACCGGTGAAACAGGTGGCTATCAACCACAGCAACCCCCGAAACCCTGCCGGAACCCTAACCTGGGGCTCTGAACCACTCCCACTCTAAAGCTTACCTAGGAGACCCCAAAGCTTCCAGCTGTTGGGAAAAAATACAACGCGGCAGATTGACATGGAACCTCGAAAACCACCCCTCTTGAGAGGAGTCTCACTTTGGGGGACCTCTTTTTGGGGTTCCAAGATAGTCTGAAGGAACGTTAGTCATGATGGAAGAATCAAAACGGTGTTGAACTACGAAATCAATTTCGGCCACGATCATAGGAGAATGCGAGTAATTGTCTAGCCTATATTTCGGAAGGGTTGTATGGCCCTTAACAGGGGGAAGGGGCCATTCTCTCACATCAAGAGGTTTCAACCTCTCGACTTGTTTGCCACTCTTGACGCCTGATGCTTGTAAACGTGGACACCCTGTGACTCATATTCATGACTGAGGGTTTAGACTGTGATTCAGGGCCTCTTGCCACAACAAGAGCAATCTCATTTTGCGTGTCAAGACCACATCTCTCCCTTCAAAGGCTTCCTTTAGCCTTCCCTTCGAAGAGGGTTCTTCTATTAACCCCTGGAACGCTGGCCCCAAAGTTGTGCTTTGCGTTCCGTCTAACGGAAAAGGTAGAGTTGGACATGTTCAAATTGTTTGCGGAGCCCTGTGTTCAGAGGAGGCCAGGCTGAGTGAAACTCCCCCACCTGCCGCAGCTCTTGATGTCGCTCATGCCGACGCTTGGGTCAGCTCCAGACGCCTCAGGGGCAGATGCGTCTCAAACTGGTGAACCCATTTATGGAGTTGAAGGGCAACCAAACGGAGAGGTCATGAGTCATGAGTCAAGACAGATCCCTGTTCTTGGACACTCTCATACTTGACGGGCAGTGAGCTGCATCTGGCTTGTGCACGGCAGCGCCAACATCCAGACCCCCATGTCACTCCGTCTCTGCCCACATTTTGGGCCAAAGAGAACCGATGCGGCCTTTCGCGCCCGCCATCCAGGGCTCAAGCCTCAAAAGGTCTGAGCGTGAACGTGGCATGCAGGCCGGCTAGTGTCGAACGCATCAAACAGTCTGTTCACGTAAGCGACCACTGAATGGTCCTCAAGACAGCCTGGCGTCAGCCGGAATTCCTTCCAACGAACATGTTGCCTCTGGGTACTCAGAACCCGTAGAGGAATGAAATGTTCGTACTTCCGAGCCAAGTCCTCTAGGTGACTGAAATCTGGCCTTCCTAGCAGATGGGCAGCCATTGTGTCCACAACAGCTGATGCGACTCTGCCTCCGATGCTGCCATGTGTGTCTCGCAACCCCGTCTTGGCTGCTTCGGCTGCTTGCTGCACAAAGTCTCGCAGATTCAAAGCGCCCCAAGCTCGTGGGCACGGATCATTGGCATGGATGTAGTTCACAGCGTTGTCTCTTGCAAAGCGCTTGAACTCCTTTGCTTTGTCGGAGTTACCACCAAACACCATGGGAGCGCCGAAAGCAAAGCACCGCACTTTGAACTTCAACAAGGTCTCCCGCAAAGCGCCTGAGCCTGCTTCAAGCTCAGCCCAAGCCAAAAACAAAGACATTTGTGCATACATGCCTCCAAGAGAGTGCCCTGTAAAGGCAACCTTTTGCACTCCTTGTGCCTCCGCAGCAACCAAGCGCCCCAAGAGCGCATCGCATTTCAGGAATTTGCTGTTCTTAACTACACTTGCTGCGCCGCTGTGAGCAAAGAAATCAACCTCGTTTGTAGCGCCATGATCATATTCCAAATTCCAACTTAAGAAGTCCAAGATGTACGACGTGCCTTTGAACACAATGAACAAAACTTGCTCGCGTGGCAAGTGGGCAGTAACACTTGCAATTTTCACTGCTCTCCCGAGGTCACCAGGCTGAATGATAATGTGGACCTTGAAAGTTACATGAGCCATCTGGGGAGGCTCTGGTTCATCAGTATAAATCCAAGAGCTGAGCACAGCTGCCACCAGATCAACGAACTGTGGGGTGTTGTGGACATCGCTTGTATGCAAGTCCAAGGTCTGATATGGGGAATACGGCTTTGCAAAATCTACAACCAAAATCTTCTTAGCACTGTAAGGCACCGCCACCACTTGGCCATTCACCGAGCAAATTGACAGATATTTGGACAGATATTTGCAGTCTTGGCCCGCAGTGATGCCGGCTGGCAGGTCTATGGCAAATGCTTGGCGAGATGATGCATCCACCACCAAAATATTCTCAGCATTGTCAGGCACCGCTACCACTTGGCCATTCACCGAGCAACTTGACTGATAGTTGCAGCCTTGTCCCGCAGTGATGCCGGCTGGCAGGTCCATGGCAAATGCTTGGCGAGATGATGCATCCACCACCAAAATCTTCTCAGCACTGTAAGGCACCGCCACCACTTGGCCATTCACCGAGCAACTTGACAGATATTTGCTGAAGTGGCCTGCAGTGATGCCGGCTGGCAGGTCTATGGCAAATGCTTGGCGAGATGATGCATCCACCACCAAAATCTTCTTAGCACTGTAAGGCACCGCCACCACTTGGCCATCCACCGAGCAAATTGACAGATATTTGCAGCCTTGTCCTGCAGTGATGCCGGCTGGCAGGTCTATGGCAAATGCTTGGCGAGATGATGCATCCACCACCAAAATCTTCTTATGTTCGCACGGCACCGCCACCACTTGGCCATTCACCGAGCAACTTGACTGATATTTGCTGAAGTGGCCTGCAGTGATGCCGGCTGGCAGGTCTATGGCAAATGCTTGGCGAGATGATGCATCCACCACCAAAATCTTCTCAGCACTGTAAGGCACCGCCACCACTTGGCCATTCACCGAGCAACTTGACAGATATTTGCAGCCTTGTCCTGCAGTGATGCCGGCTGGCAGGTCTATGGCAAATGCTTGGCGAGATGATGCATCCACCACCAAAATCTTCTCACGCACCGCCACCACTTGGCCATTCACCGAGCAACTTGACACTGAAGTGGCCTGCAGTGATGCAGGTCCAAATGCTTGGCGAGATGATGCATTCAGCCTGTAAGGCACCGCCACCACTTGGCCATTCACCGAGCAACTTGACAGATATTTGCAGCCTTGTCCTGCAGTGATGCCGGCTGGCAGGTCTATGGCAAATGCTTGGCGAGATGATGCATCCACCACCAAAATCTTCTTAGCACTGTAAGGCACCGCCACCACTTGGCCATCCACCGAGCAAATTGACAGATATTTGCAGCCTCGTGCACTGATGCTGGCTGGCAGGTCTATGGCAAAAAATGCTTGGCGAGATGCTCCCAGACCCATGTGTTAACTGTAGCTCTTCAATGCCAAATCGCTTGCGCGAAAATGGCGACAGGAAAAATGGGCGGGTTTGTTCTTAGTCGATTTACAGAGGAAATCCCCTCCAAAAAACGGCACCACTGGGTGTCTGGGAAAACTTGTGGGTCAGGTTGCCACTCCTTCTGACCATGCAACAATGGGCCACGGCGAGCAGTCTGCTCCTTTGACTACACCTAAAAGGACCAAACACCCTGTGGCAATGTACCTGCTGGTACCCAGTTCATTCATACCAAACCGTGCTATCATACCTTGCGCGGCCACAGAGGTGTACCACTCCTCTGTCCACACTACATTCGTTCCGCCAGGATTGCTTTCTGATTTGATCCTGGAACAAGCATGAAAGCTGGGGCAAAACAAACTCTAAAACTCCATACAAAGGATACAAACATGCATGACCTTGAGATCAACCTGTGCCAGTCGCTCTCTGGACTCAGGCCTCCGTCCCTCAGCCTCATCGGCCGCCGCCCCCGGCATGGCCATGGCCGGCGTCTTGCCGTCCGCTTGAGACGCAAAATTATTGGCTGCGTCTGTTGGAGAGGTCCGCTGCAAGTCGTGCTCGACCATTTGATTTGTGTTTCTAGTAACCCATGTCAAGGCAAAGCGGCCCAGGGGTTCATTCCGGCGTTCGTTCCCATGGTCGATGCGCTTTGACGCACACCGAGTTCTGAAAGGCCGGATCTCAGCTTGCGGCAACGGCCAGCCCGGTGGAACCCGCAGAAGGATCAGGCTGGTTCCCCTTCAAATCAAGCCATGGTCGTGGGAAATAACGTGGCCCGTTTTTCTGTGACATCCCTTGACTTTGTCAGTTTCAAGGGGGGTCCCTTGATATCATGAGGCCCTAAAACCCAGTTCACCACAACCATGAATCGGGACCCAGGTCAGTCCACCATCGGAATGTCTGACAATACCACAACCAACCGATACATGACCACGGAAAACCGATATCCCATCAACCTGCCGCACCGATAGCTCCCAACCCAAAACCGATACACGGGCAACATTGTCTGTTGCTCATTGCCATGGTCAGATTACTTGCTTTACCCCTTTTTTGGTGGATGTGGGGGGAACCGAAGCAATGCTGGCGGGTCCGATTCCTAAAGCAAGACACTGGGAGATTGAGGGAGTCCCCTGGCTTGTGTGGGGAAACTTCGTGAACCAACCTTTCTATGGATCTGTTTACCCAACCTATATGAAGCGAATCCCGCGGGGGCCATTTTGACTTCAGGTGAGCCCCAGCCCAGATCCCACCGCTGAGCCATTTTTTCAGGCCCGATATCCAGAAGGATAACTAGTCAAGCTTTGCGTGTGGAATGGTCATCCCAAAACAAGTTTGATAACAGCTGCTCATATTTGGGTCGGGAAACGTGCGGAAGTGCATCTGATAAGCATGATGGATGTCCACCAAGGCTCGGATCATCTCTAATCTGCTCTGACACCATCTTAGTTGGCTTCATCCAGAGCCTCCAATGGATTCCATAAAAAGAAAGGCGCCTGTTTTTGGTACATCTTAAACGGGAAACTCCCCCCTCCAAAAAATAAGCTCAGATGATATCCCCAACAGCATGCGGCGCTCTTCTTCATGCTCGCCTCGTGGAACCCTGGTGGAAACCTAGTGGAACCTTGGTGGAACCCTCGCGGAACCCTGGTGGAACCCGGTGGAACCCACGTGGAACCTTACCTCAGGGCCGCCCCGGACCACCCCGGAGCCTATCTGGGCTGAGACCCCAAAGCTTTCAGCTGTTGGGGAAAAACAAATAAACAATGCAACTGGCCCAAAACAAAGACGCCTGGTGGCCCTGAGCATGCCTTGATCAAACGAAGCCCTTGCAACCATTGCCTGCTCTTTTAATTGCCCACGCGACTTGTAAACTTAACATGACAAGAACCCTGATGATAAACCTTCGGACTCTTCAGGTGTACTAGGCCATGCATGGTCACATCCTGATCCAGAACCCCAGATTGTTCCATTTCCAACCAGAATGCGCACAGTCACATTCACCTTGGCCCTAGTTGGGGCCGGACCAAAACATAATATGTTCAGATTCTGGTCCATATTTGGGGGAGAGCCTCCCCCTAATATGAAGTAAGCTTCAGAAAGAGTCCCATGATACGCCCGAGAAAGCCAACCGCTCCTGAGGCGCGCACGGCGCCGTTCGCTGGGCGGATGCCTCGCGGGCTCCGTCCAGTGGCACGAGCTTCGTGACCACTTGACCCAAAGGTTAAAGGCCCTAGGGGCGATCGGGTACTTAGTAAGTGGATGGTAACCATGGCCACAACCCACCTAGGAGACTTATAATCACGGTAAGTGGGTTATAACAATGGTTTCTAACCACTTACTAAGTTACATGCCCTTTCAAATGACTTGGTAGAGACAAGGGAACTGCGAGACAAAGTCTGGCAGTGCTGTTTGAAGGAGTGCGAATCCGAATGCGAACATACCTCAATGCACAGGTGCTACTCCAAATACTCCACGCCATTGTCTTCCCTCCGATTGGCCAATGGGCAATGAGGTGACTGCCTTCCAATTGGCATCAAGTGCCGGTCTGGTGGCATGGGTTTGCAAGCTGGCAACAGCCCACAGCTTCACAAAGGCGCCGCGCTGTCACCCGAATACTTTTCGGGGGTTCGCGACCGGCCTTTCAACTGTGAAACAGCTCAATGGGCCAAAGCCTTTGAAGAAACATGCACATCGCCATATGCCGCTTCAGCCCCCGTTGACGTCGGCATCGTGTAGGTGTGTAGGTGTGTCATTTCTGAGGCTGCTCTTTAAAAGCTTGGTGTTGAAGGGAAACCAAAGGAAAAACCGAAGCCATTTGGGTGGCCCGCGGAAGAAACAGAAAAAGAAAAACAACTGCCCAATATTCTACACTTCAGTTCCCATTCTCGTTTTGAGAGATTACTAGGTTTACATAGCGGCTGACCATGTGACCAACCCAAACCGCTTGGACATGGAACACTCAAAACCAGCTTCTGCAAATCTGAATAAAGCCAAGACCTGAAATGGGGAATCCCAAGTGGACCTGCACATGAGCCCGTGTTTCTTTGTTCCCCCGTGAGCTTCAAACCCATGAAATGGGCAGCTACCGACCGACTTCCGGCCTTCCTCAAAAACCGCACCCAACAAAGCCAAAATCGGAGAGCCAGAAATAGCGTGGAAAATCCATGTGCTACGGTAGATGCCAACAAAATATGGCAAGGGACACTACTTGGAGTTCCTGTTTACTGAAAAACTTCCCATGGGCTTTGCGGGTTTTGGTGAGGTTGCGTTTACGTGCAAATTTGTTAAGGCCACCGCAACCTAGTCTCACTCGCCGGGTGGCCAAGACCAGCATCCAGCTTATTTCTTTGCCACTTTCACATGGGTATCTCCTAAAATGCGGGGGCTCCCCTTTGGTTTCCCTGAGCAACTCAAAACAGAGTTGCCATCAAAAAGGAAGAGCGACCCATATGGTTTTCCACCAACAAATGCAAAGGGATCCTAAAAAACCCTAGGGAAAAAATGGTCCCAGCTGGTCCATTTCTCCAAAAAAGCCCTACATCCAGCCCAGCGAACCCAGAATCCGGGGCCAGCGGCTGGGCAAATTTCCGGGCGCCATCAGCCTGGCGCCACGGATCTTCCTTCTTTCAGAAGTTCCCCGCTTCCTTGGTTGACGTTGGAAGGGGAGCAACAATTCAAATTTCAGCAGTTGAGTGGTTGGATTTCAACCACTAAACCACAATCAGCAAAAATCCGTAAAATATCTCCCAACAACAACCATGCCTTAGGGACCTGGAAAAGGCGATCACCTGTTGCAGTGACCGAAGCTAGACCACAATTCGAAGCCCACGGGTCTGGAAGCAAAAGGTGATCACATAGTTTGGAGTACCAACAACTTTTTTGGACCAAGATTTGATAGAACCAACGGGTCAAAAGGTGGGCACACCTGAGTGAAGCATGGGATGTGTGGAAGAGAGACGGCCAAGATGACCTTGGGATATTCAGTACATTTTCTTCATTACTTGAATTAGCCATGATCTTTTGAAGAGAGCCGGCCAATCATGAGCTATGTTGCATCTCTCAGCTGTGGATACTTCCCAACCACTCGGACCATTTTTGCTGGATGGTGCCTCAAAGAATCATTCCCTAGTGTTTCTGAGGTGGTGCGAAACGGATTTCGTCCACCCACAGTAGCTCAAAAAGTTCATTCCAAATTCTCAGACCAATGTTTGATGGAGTGAGCCTGGCCAGAAGACCCTTGGATACCTCCGGCACTACCAGAGTCTCGTGAATTTACAGGACGTAGTCACTTTTCATATTACTCAATTTAAGCTTCATTTGAGCTGGAGGTTTTGGGCTGGGTGTGGAGAGCGTTGGCAAGGCCAAAGGATCCAGACATTCTCCTCACTTTGATGGGGCTCTCTTGGTTAGTTCAGGTCAATGGAATCTCTGGGAAAGGCTGTGAATGGGTGGTTCTTTCTGTCACACAGCCTGGAAAGGCCCTGACAAACAGTTCCGCTGAAACATGTGTCCAACGATCCAATATATATATATATATAAACACGGGGTTGATTTAACTTTGGATTCTCTTGAAACAGAATCTAGCAAAGGCCCGCGTGAGATATACCCAAATGGAAGATGACCCTGCAAACTGTACCATCACTGTCTGTCGAGATATCCACAGCCAGCAACTTGGGCCACTCACAGAACTTCTTGCCTCAGTGAATTCCGGGATGTTGAGACGCTTAACGGACCTTTTCCATCAGCTGCTGTTGACAATTCCTGAAACTTCAAAACCCGAGTGATTTCTGGGACACAGTCGAATATATGGGTGGCGGGACTTCCCTTACATGCCCGGAATCTCAAACCACGAGAGAGAAATCTAGATAAATCCAGAAGCTATTTCCAAGCCTGCACTCTAGGGGAGAAAACCACCCTCCCTGCGCCGGCGGATTTTGGTGCAACCGGTTTTGTGCGACTGGTTTTGTGCGAAAGCACGACGCTACACGCAAACGTCGCAAATGAAGTCAATATATAAAGGACGGAAATATACCAAGTTGGAAGCTCTCAGCAAAGGGACATTGCTGCCTGCTCTGAGACTTCCCATGTCCGGTTGGCCTGACTGAAATCAGTCAAGGAGCACGCCACATAGTGCGTGTGCCTAAGGCACTTTGCGTCGCTGTTATACAAGCAAAAAAGTAAATAAACAACGCACGTACATGTTTCTTGTGTGACGGCTTCAATGTGGCACGAGCCCAATCTGGACCAAGCTCACGAGGACTCACGCGTCCGGAAAGCAATCGGCTCTGTGCGGAAGATAAAGACCTCAGCTCAACTCGGGCGCGCACGGTGCTTGGGCAATCACATGGCTGTGGGTCAAAAATAGGTGCCCAAAATGGAACCCTGGCAAATTGAAACATGGTTCCCTGTTAGTTTAATTTTGACCCACAGCCCCATGATTTTCCGGCTGGCCGGACTGGCTGAAACAGTCCAACATACGGGCCCCGATGATTGGCATTGCCAAAGTCGCCCGCGGAGTGCCAGTGACTCGCATTTCCCGATTCGGCATTGAGTGCACAGTTGACTTCAACCAGAACTGCCAAATTGGACTTTGCCAGCCAACATGAATTCACTACTACATCACCGCCATGCGATTGCTGTGTTGCTGTTTGATGCAATCGTGTCCCTACGAGTGCTCGCACTGCTAGCCCTAGTCCAGTCAGTCCGCAAAACAGGGAATTCACGCAAATGGGCGATTCTCCAAGTGGTCTCCCTTTAAATACCGGCCAGGAAAGGGTCTGACATGTTGAGGAACCTTCGTATCAAAACCTAAAACATTTGCAACAGCATGTTCTCAGCCGCCATCGATAAAACCAGAGCTGTGACATCGAGTGAGGCCTGAGACCAAACAGTTTTCATTGAGGGTCATTTCCGTAGAATGCAATGCACGTCGTGTTCCTTGTCGAATATGTTTTTGTTTTCCAGCCTCCCTGTTTAAAGAGGGGTAGAAAGGTCTCAATGCTGTCAGAGTTGGGACTCTGAAGCCACAACTCGCAACCTTTGGTCTTGGTGCCTCGTAGTGACTCCTCCGACCACACTGAGCAGCAATAAAGCGAAAACGGGTGCTTTTTGAGGGGGAGAACAAAGCAAGAGCACCATTTTGGAGGGGTCCTCTGACAAGACACCTCCACATCGCGTTTTCCTTGCGAACCGCCTTCTTCATGCGCGGGCTTGCAGAAGGACCGGCGATACCAAAAACAACATCCCCATCAAACAACCCTCGCGCTGCACCAGCGGAACTTGTTTCACCCCGATTTCCTCTTCCATCCAATCGAGTCAGGAGGATGGATTAGCTCCCAACAAAAATGCCAAACAGCTAGCCGCAGCCTGCTGAATAGCTTCCCCATCGCAAGCCTCCAAGAATCACAAGTGCCTTGGAGGTTGACTCATAGACCACAAGGCCACCAAACTACCGGCCCAGTGCATTCCCTTTCGGCCAAAGGGCGTGCCGATTTGGACGTTCCGCCTAAATGGACTCGAGGTTGGTGAGGTTCCGCATGACTGGCTTCTGCGTCAAGAACTGCAAGCCCTCGAACCCCGTGCGGCGGGCGCTCCTGAGATCGGACCGGCGACTCTGGCGCCTTCCGGCATGGAGGCCCAGTGGGTGAAGAAGAGACGGCAACTCACAATGGATCCTTCTCAGATGGACTTAGGAATCCTGTCAGACCCAAGGGATATATTTCTAGTTTTATGGTCTCTCACAGCGCTTCTGAATCCCATGTTTCTCTGGGCTCTCGATGGGGGCTACACATTGAGACCAGCTCAGCCGCGAACTCATTGAAAGACGTGGGTATATGTCAAAGAAGCGGGACACACAAATACGGGTTGTTATCGTGGTGTCCCTTTAAACCAATCTTTAAAAGCTACCCTCAAACAAATAGACAGCCACATTGGAAACCACCACAGGGTACATTCCTATCGGTGCGGAAGGCATCGGCCCTTGGACCGAGATATCTTGCATGACTGAGGCACGAACTGCAGGTGTCAAGGCTAGGTAGATTAGATCAATGATCACCTCATGGCCTAAACAAAACACAGTGCCGATCTATTTGGGTTCCCTTAAGTATCATTGACTATCTGTTCGGATTCCTACAGGCGAACGTACAATATGTCAAGGGAATGCAAATGACAAGTCTGAAGGTCCAACAGCGAGTCACAAGTACAATTTCCAGGAAGCTGGTGTTCTACCAGTGGAGAGTTTGCCGGTGGCTTTCCACAGCACAATGGGATACCCGATCTCATTTTACGGCCAGAAAATCCAAGTCTGGGTTGATCATAGCTATGCAACCCGCAATTCATCAACCTACGGCGGACCTACGGTTGCGGTCCGTTGCCGGAAATCCTGGCCCAGATTGTTTGATAGGGAAGAGGCTCAAGGTTTATTTAATGAGCAAGATCACCATGGTCAAACATACTGTGGAGGGGCAACGTCCTGAGTGGGAGGGTTGAAACCCAATGAAGACTAAGAAAACACCTACCAACTGGACTCCCTAGCCCGAAGGCTCTTGATACGGCTATCTGCCCAGCTGCGATGTGATGAGAGACGACTTCTTGACGATGACATCATCTGAAAGCAGAGCAGTGGCTTCAAGAGGGACGCTATTGCACCAAAGCCAAGGAGTGCCCTAGGAATTTCCAGCATGCATGCCTTCAAACATTCAGAGTGAGCCCCAAAGAGGCACGTCCATTATGGAGTCTCCACGAATTAGGAAGAAAAGGAAAGGCGAGCCTAAACAAATGTTTACCTTATGGGAATTACATCCAGTCAAGATGCAAATCGGCGGGGTGAATTATTCTCACCTCGACGCTACCCCTCCTGAACAAAAACACATGGTTGTCCCCTTGGTCTGGTGAAAAAGGCAATGTTGTAAATCAGATTGTACCTGTTGAGAAACCCCTGCTCTTTGTTGTAGGTTGGTAGGCGCACTGATTGGTCTGACGAGTAGATGAATGGCCCAGTGGTTCCCCGTTACCACTTACCACTATACTGCAGCAGGTCAGCTGCCATTTTCCTGCTAAGTTCTCCCTTGTTTGCCAGGTGGATGGAATCGCCTTCGCTTTGGACACTTAAGGCCGATCTCCCCATTGAAGCAACCAATGTGTGTGTGTGTGTGTGTGTCTCTCAAAACAGGAAATTCAGATGGTTTTGAAAGAAAGGAATCCAAAAGGAAAACACCTGGGGGTTGATAAAAAGGTCCTTTACGTGGGATGCCCATTGGGGAAACCACAAAAATGATGATTTGTCCCACTAAATTGCAAAAGTTACCCATGGTCATTTGGGGGCCAGGAATTTTGATCAGCCCCCACCTGGAGGGGTCCCCAATTTTGAGGCGTTAATCCTACGAACGGCACCGTGGATCACAGCGTCAAAGAACACACGCAGGCAGTCATTTCGCGCTTCGTGGCATGTTTTGCCTTGGGGCCCTGCTTTTGACACACGCCCCAAGCGAACTGGACGGGTGACACTCTCCTTTCTGAGCATCAATTCCCACACGTGGCACCGTTAGGATGGAACGCCCTGCAATGTACTTGCACTCCCCAAGGATTACCTAGCAACGGGAATGTGCCAACCCCTTGCCCCGGGTACATGAGAGAATGGTGCATTCGCGGAGGTGCATTCCTAGATATTCCTAGATATCTGGTGAGCTCTGGCTGGCGAACACTCATAATGATCGTTCATAACACCTTCAACCCCCTGTGTTCTGCATAATCGAATTTGGACTGTTCTCGTGAAGAAAATACGACGACCTGTGTCAAGCTTGCCGATTGCCATGTACAGCGCGGTGCTATGGGAGAATGAAACAAATTGTGCTGAATGAGATGCCCTGCGATTCAAACTCTTCTGTAAGTCGCTGCCTTTGCATTGACCGCAGGCTTCGTCGGCGTTGGGGGTGAACGCCATGCTCGCTTCCTTGCAGGATTTGCACAAGTAATTAATACAGGCGCACAATGAGTCAAATCATGATAGCTGAGCAAGCGAGCTCACGTACTTGGGGAAAAAACTCGTGGCGCATTTTCACTGTCACACATCCCATCCTAAACCTCATGCCACATCACCGTGAATCGAGAGGAAGGCTCTGGGGTGCGCAGAAAGGATCAGATTGCGCCCTCTCCGGATTCGAAATCCTATTCAATTGGCGGGTGCCCATTTGCACTGTCCTGCCAGGTTGCCACCGCTTGAGTTGGGTGAATGCTTTCAATCGTGCATTCAGCAGCAGCACGCATTAAAGCATGCCCCGCTAAGAATTAAGCATGTTGAGTGTGTGCCCGTCAATCCACAAAGGGCAGGCGTCGTCTTCAAAGCAGTTGTCATGCTCATCTCACAATCAAGACCGCGCCTGGTTTCCAAGTCCACGGTCATAGTGAGCTGTGTACTCATAGAAGAGCGGCGTGCCCATGATCCAGACCTGATCAAATACAAAAACGGGCCATGGCCACCACCCTTACCAACCCTGAGGGCTCATCAGGGTCTGTTGAGCATGGCTGAGTCTGACGCTAGACTTATCTGCCCAGAGGCGAAAGGGAACACATGGAGCTTGTTGCTGATGCTAAGTGGGATTTATTCCATGGCCAAGGGTCCTCTGTATGTGGCGACTAACATTGTTCCTGTATTGCACTCAAAAGCCGGCTGCTGTGTTTGCATCTGCCCCATGCTCAGGCCAATGCAAGCTTTAAGCCGTTCTGTTCTTGCCAGAAACAAAGGCATACACCCAGATCATGGGCGATCGTGGGCGTGCGCCTGAAAGCACCCATGGCAAGATAGCAACATGTCATTTGGTTCCCCCTTGTCAGTTCCCAGTTTATTGGTACCTAATACCCCTTTAGGTTTGCTGGGTTCCACGAAAAAAAAAAGGAATCAACCCCAAAAAATGTGTCCAGTCTTCTATTAGGGTCAAAACAACAACAAATCGCGTTCCCCATTTCTGCAAATTGGCCTGCGCCCGACTGCGGGGCGGAGGCCACATTCTGCATTCCCAGGCAATGAGGGCCGACTTCCGGGGCACAACGGTTGATTCAAAGCAACGCAGTTGGGACGCTAAGCATTGGAGGTGCTGTTGTTCCTTTATTTAGGAACCCGAAAGCTAATCACTATATCTATGAATACCAGTAGAGCCGGCGAAGCCGGTGGGCGGAAGTGTCAAAAATATAAAAACAATAGTTCTCTTTCTCTTTCTTCCTTTCTTCCTTTCTTTCCTTCTTTCTATCTGTCTTTTCGTTCTTTCTTTCGTTTGCTTGTCTATCTATCTTTCTCTACCTAACTATACCTAACTACCTATCTATCTATCTCTCGTGTTATCTATCTATCTGCTTATCTATCTATCTATCTCTCTATCTATCTTCTCTATCTATCTCTCCTCTCTATCTATATATCTACCTATCTCTCTATCTCTCTATCCATCCATCTCTCTATATCCCTCTATCTCTGTCTCTCTCTTTCTCTATCTGTCTATCTATCTCTCTATCTCTCTTTCTTTCTATCTTTCTATCTCTCTATCTCTCTTTCTATCTATTTATCTCTCTATCACTCTTTCTTTCTAGCCATTTATCTCTCTATCTCTTTCTCTATCTCTTTCTACCTATCTATCTATCTATCCATCTATCTCTCCATCTATCTCCCGCGTATCTATCTATCTATCTATCTATCTATCTATCTGTCTCTCTATCTGTCTATCTCTCTATCTATCTATCTCTCTACATCTCTCTATGTATCCCTCTGTCTACCTATCTATCTATCTCTCTCTCTATCTGTCTATCTCTCTATCTATCTATCTATCTATCTATCTATCTATCTATCTATCTCTCTCTCTATCTGTCTATCTCTCTATCTATCTATCTATCTATCTATCTATCTATCTATCTATCTATCTATCTATCTATGTATCTCTCTATCTCATTATCTCACGTGTATTTATCTATCTCTCTATCTATCTATCTATATTTCTAATTATCCATAGATCTACCTATCTATCCATCTCTCTATCTACCTCGCTATCTAATTCTCTCTACCTGTCTATCTATCTATCTATCTACCTCTCTATCTATTTATCTATCTATCTATCTATTTACTTCTCTATCTATCTACCTATCTATGTGTCTCTCTCTATCTCTGTTTCTATCTATTTATCTATCTCTCTATCTATCTATCTATCGGTCTATCTATCTATCTGTCTGTTTATCGTTTATCTATCTATGTATTTATCTCTCTATCTATCTATCTATCTATCTCTTTTTCTTTCTATTTATATATCTCTCTATCTCTCTATCTATCTATCTCTCTCTCTATCTATCTATCTCTCTATCTCTTTATCTCTCTCTCTGTTTATTTATCTATCTATCTTGCTCTCTCTCTTTCTCTCTCTATCGATGTATCTATCTATCTATCTCTTTCTCTATCTCTTTCTATCTTGACTTCGCGTACTACTTTCGTACTTAAAAGTTGCGATTTTCGAGCCCCAGCTGTGAAAGTGGACTTCACGTACTACTTTCGTACTTAAAAGTTGCGATTTTCAAGCCCCAGCTGCGAAAGTGGACTTCACGTACTACTTTCGTACTTAAGAGTTGCGATTTTCGAGCCCCAGCTGCGAAAGTGGACTTCGCGCACTACTTTCGTACTTAAAAGTTGCGATTTTCAAGCCCCAGCTGCGAAAGTTGACTTCGCGTACTACTAGTTTCGATTTTCGAGCCCCCGCTGCGAAAGTTGACCTTGCAAAAGTGCTGCGCCTGCCACGAAATCTGTACTTGACCTTGCGAAAGTGCTGCGCCTGCCACGAAATCTGTACTTGACCTTGCGAAAGTGATGCGCCTGAAACGAATTTTGCACTTGACCTTGCGAAAGTGCTGCACCTGCCACGAATTCTGTGATTGACCTTGCGAAAGTGCTGCGCCTGCCACGAAATCTTTACTTGACCTTGCGAAAGGGCCGCACCTGCCACAAAATATGTACTTGACCTTGCGAAAGTGATGCGCCTGCCACGAATTTTGCACTTGACCTTGCGAAAGTGCTGCACCCTGCCACGAAATATGTACATGACCGTGCGAAAGTGACGCGCCTGCCACGAAATCTTTACTTGACCTTGCGAAAGTGCTGCACCCTGCCACGAAATATGTACATGACCTTGTGAAAGTGACGCGCCTGCCACGAAATGTTTACTTGACCTTGCGAAAGTGCTGCACCCTGCCACGAAATATGCACATGACCTTGTGAAAGTGATGCGCCTGCCACGAAATCTGTGCTTGACCTTGCGAAAGTGCTGCGCCTGCCACGAAATCTTTACTTGACCTTGCGAAAGTGCCGCACCTGCCACAAAATATGTATATACTTGACCTTGCGAAAGTGCTGCGTCTGCCACGAAATTTGTACTTGACCTTGCGAAAGTGATGCGCCTGAAACGAATTTTGCACTTGACCTTGCGAAAGTGCTGCACCTGCCACGAATTCTGTGATTGACCTTGCGAAAGTGCTGCGCCTGCCACGAAATCTTTACTTGACCTTGCGAAAGGGCCGCACCTGCCACAAAATATGTACTTGACCTTGCGAAAGTGATGCGCCTGCCACGAATTTTGCACTTGACCTTGCGAAAGTGCTGCGCCTGCCACGAAATCTGTGCTTGACCGTGCGAAAGTGATGCGCCTGCCACGAAATCTTTACTTGACCTTGCGAAAGTGCTGCACCCTGCCACGAAATATGTACATGACCTTGTGAAAGTGACGCGCCTGCCACGAAATCTTTACTTGACCTTGCGAAAGTGCTGCACCCTGCCACGAAATATGCACATGACCTTGTGAAAGCGATGCGCCTGCCACGAAATCTGTGCTTGACCTTGCGAAAGTGCTGCGCCTGCCACGAAATCTTTACTTGACCTTGCGAAAGTGCCGCACCTGCCACAAAATATGTATATACTTGACCTTGCGAAAGTGCTGCGCCAGCCACGAAATGTGCACCTGAGCTTTCGAACGTGTTGCGCCTGCCACGCAATTCAAACCTTGCGAAACCTCTGCGTTGCCGTGCCAATGGTCCCGGCGCCGCCCTCGTCCCGAGACCGTCCCGCACCCGTCGTCCGTCAGACGCCGCGACTGAGGTAGCTTTCAGCCAGCTCCACACCACCAAACCCGCAGAGGGTTGCTCCTTTTCGCAAATTCTATTCCCCCGCCACACGCGCACGCATGTTTTCTCTGCCTTTCATTCTTTCTTCTTCCTTCCCTGCACCATCTAGCTTTCAATTAGTTTCCGTAACTCGGAAGCTTCCTTCTAAACTTCCTTTGGTACGAGTAAAGTGTGTGTTGTTCACATCTGAGGCTCGTGTGAGCAGGCCCATCCAAGCAGGATGGAAATCCTGCCCATTTTTAGGGGAATGGGATGATGGGGGCGCGCAAGTTCCCAAATCAGCCGTTCAAGTCCCCTATTTTAAGACACAACCAAACCGCCTGGCGTGTTTATGGTCAGTCGAGCAAAGGGCCATCTAGCAATAAGAATGGCACTGGGGAAGTGTTCTACTTCTGCGGGTTTGTCTCTGTTGAGGGAACCTTCACAAGGATGGTGTCCCTTTGTCCGATTTAACCACCCCGGCTTGACCTAGCTTGCAACAAACACTCCCCCTCCAGAAAATGGTAGTTGTCCCTTTCATTTCCCTTAACACCCAAAAAAGGTGCCCTCAAAAAACGCCACACCCGTCTCTCCCTCTGCGAGGCGCATCGCCGTTCAGCGTGGTCTTCATCTCGTTGGGCGAGAAGGCGGGTATGCACACCTGCACGGCTAAGCTTGCTGTTGGGCGCTGAGCTGTCCCTGGGGCTGACATGTAGAACTCTGGTAATTGCGGGCCCCCATAAGTTTTAGTCCTTCGGCCCTGGGGCTTGCTCACACCCTGTTTGGATCAGGATACTTGCGCCTGTGAACAACCTCATTTTAGCTAAGTCTCTGTAAAACAACGCAGGAGAATCCACAAAAACATGAAAAATGCGCATTCTGGCGAGGGGTGACAAAATGGACCCTAAACCTGGCCTTTGCCTGGCTTCCCCGTGAAGCCAGCTGAAAAAAGACGTCAACGCGAACACCCGGATTCATCAACTGAAGCCAGCCAAAACGAACCTTGCGGGGCCTGGCCTCTTCTGACCCCAAATTGCCGGGTTTGGAGACTCTTGCTGAATTTTCACTCGCCCCTCACGCCTTCCGCCCATCCACAGACTGCTCAGAACTTGGTCGGGCAGACACGAGCCCCCCCTCCCCAGCTGCCGGGAGCGCGCTGGTTGGAAACAGGCGCCAGGTTGCGTTGCGGCCAAGAAAAGCGACTGAAAGCATTTGTAGTGCGTCCGTTACAAACGCGGAAAGCGGTTTCTCTTCATGCACAGTACAGGTCCTAGTCCTACTGTAGTTGCTTCTGGCCTCATGTCTCATCCGGTACTCAGTCGGCCCAGTCGGCTACAGGCTATAGGTCCCGTGGCTGGCCAATCAATCTTGACATGCCGGTGCACACAGTCTTAACTCTGCAAGCTGGCATCTCGGCCAAGGAATTGACCGGCTGTTGTGATGTGTCAAATTTATTGGCTTGGCCAACTAAAGTTGTGCAAGAAGAAGGCTTGAGTATTGTGTCAACTGTGCACCATGCCAGCAGTTCTTGATGGCTATTCTGGAGGCTTGCCAGAGTTGGTCGTATGTTGTGTCCTGCCAAACGTATCGCGTGTTGTTTGCAAAGAAGACCACTCCAAGCGGTATGCGTTTTGACACAAGAGTGTTCGGAATTCGACGTCAGCATCGCATGTTTGCGTCCGATTAAAACGGAATGCTTTTGCCCCTTTGCTTGCCTCGTTTGCGCTTCGGCCTTCTTATTGCGCCTGAATAGTTCACGCATGTCGGAACATCTCACCTAAATCCATTTACCTGAACAGCAGGTAAACAAGGAACCCTTTGAAGCCCAAGAAGAATGGTTGGTTGCCTGCTATGCTGGTGGCTGGGGTCCGCTGGACGTACGGTTTAAGCACCAATTCAATCAAGTAATGCATTCAAACGTTTGCACGCCTATGGTTCAGAACGCGCCATGGCTCAAAACATGACAAACCAGGTGAGTGAGGTGGTTGGCCTTGTTCTCCACCTAGTGTTGCTGCTCACAACGCAGCTAATATTGAACTTTCAAGCGTCAATTGGCGTTCTAAACATCTCTGAATTATCAGAAAGGGAAGGTGTTGAGAATAGGAAAGTAATGTGCTCTATGGATTGACTACAATATCACACGACTTGTTCTAAATCCCCAACCGAACCCAGCAGAATAATACAAGACTATGTAGGAAAGACCGCCTTGAAATGCATACAAACACGAAAACAAACATGTTTAAAGGGTTGCCTTTCCATGGCACCTCTGGTCCTTGTTGCCCCATTCTGCATTCTCTGCGGCTGACCTTTCCGGGAGTTCACAGGTATCTCGGGATTGGCTTGGTATATCTCTCGATTCTGATTGTCGGGCTTCAGTTCCTTTCAAACGAACGTCGGAAACGCCACGTGACACGTGACTCCGAGCTGCAGCACGTAGGTGCGGGGGGGGAGGACCAGATCCGTCTCAACCCCGTTGGCGCCAGCCACATGGAAGGTCAACTGGCGGAGAGACATCAAAATGAAGACATGTGATTCAGCTTCCCTCTAATTGATGGTTTGGATTGGTGGTTTAGCGGTTAGGGATGAGTTCCCATCTACCATCAACAAGAACCAGGAGGTCAATCCCCAAACCACCCATCAAAACCACCAATCAAAGGACAAAGTGAATGACTAGGGATCCTTCTGTTGGATGGTCAAAAGAAAGAAACCAAGACGAAACCATCAATTTGGAGGGTCCTTGTATGTTGAGACTCATGGGGGACCCTGTTCTTTCAACCTGTTTTTGGGCCCAGAAACCAAAGGCTAAAATGGAGGCAACAAAACAAACAAGCTTGGGGCTGGCAAAAGTTGCCAACCAACAAGCGACCCTACCTTTCAAGACAAACAAAATGGCATTCGTCTGGGGAAGGGGGCCTGTGATATCGGTGGGATGATTAAGCCCTTATTAAGCCCTTAATATATCCTTACTCGTGATTTTCATGGGCATCACAAATAAGAGCTTATTAAGGGCTTATTAAGGCCTAAATAAGGATGTTGCTCAGAAATCAACTACAACGTTTTCGCGCATTAGCTGACTAGCCTCTATTTTTCACATGCCCTTCTACTGGACCATTGCATTCTCAGACCGGACAAAACTGGCTGAACAGCCCCAACAAACCCCTTATTTGTTGCCGGCTTGTGTGTTTTGTTGCTTTTTGGGTGCCAAACCGCCTGGTGTGCCAAAACACGCAGAGGGTATGAAAAACCAGGTACCCCCCCCAGAAACAAGCCTTGTTTTAATGAGCCCTTATTTGCCCTACGAAAACATGTGTAAGAATGGTACGTTGCGTGAAGCAAGCTGTTTGAGGCAGTCGAATTTGGAGACTTGTTTGAGGCAAACCACCACACACTTAAATCCGTATTATTTTTCTGAGAGGGGAGCTCTGAGAAGGTTTACTTGACAAGTAGTTTGGCTAACGCCAACATGGACTTGAATCAAGATATTTTTTTTGAGGGGGGGACATCAGGGGGGGAGGGGTAGGGCTTGCATGATAATTATAAAGGAAACCCAAACCAAGACCTCCCTTTTTCTTGGTCCGACTCCTAAAAAAAGGCCTCCCGCTCTTTCGGACGCCTTCCCCCCCATGAAGACCCCATCCGTCGGGTTCGCGCTGGCGCTCCGCTCGCGCTCCGCCCGCGCCTTGGGCATCTCGTCATTGAGGTCCACGCCCTGACGCGGGGCGTTTCCCGTCGAGTGGAGGCCCCGGTTCGCGGGTATAACCAATACAAAGTAACATGCAACCTGATTAAAAACCCACCCAGTGATAGTTTGAATCTCTGTTTGGGATCTGGTTCCATGTCAAATTGCAGGGGAGTCACATGTGGGTGACCTACTCAATGGGTTCCAACAAATGGGGTCCTTTTGGATGCTACACACGCGATTGCATTGTCCCGTGCAGCTGGAAGGGTCCCCTGAGTATGTTCCGACTCTGATCCTATTTTGCCAACCTTACATGAACTAAAATCGGAAAAGACCCGTCTTGTCTGATTGGCGGTTGCCCTGAGCAAGGACGCAGAATCGATTTACAGGTTCAATTGAACATCACATCCGCTTAAGCGGCTCGAGCGGGTTGGTTGGGGCTCTCGGGTGTCTTCCTCGAGAATCATTGTAGCCAAAGGCTTTCGGGGCAATGTGGGCTGTAGATCAAGTATTTATGTCTTGCCTTTGCTGCAAACGCCAGTATTTCGCCCAGACCTGCAAAGGAGGGTAGGGTCAGCAGGGTGAGACCTCAGTCATTGTTTTCGAATCCTGATATGATAGATGTACTCTTTGGATTGGAACTTGAGGAGCGGGTGAACGAAAGCTAGCAGTTGTTGCATGAGATGGGTCGGTGACAGAGTGGATTCATAGGTAGCTTGTGTACAACGAGAGGCCCGGCAAGATTCGTAGGATGCGACACGCAAACGCACATGGTGGCGTGGCAAACCTTGAAAAATGAAAACAACGAGAGGCGTCAGAAGCTGTCTTAAAGCACCTCTGGGTTCTGCATGCTGCGTGTGCAAAGATTCTTGCGAGGTGGTTTACTGAGAAGACTGAGGTCTCAAATGAACAAGCTGAATCGGTGGAACATGTAAAAGTTCGTAGCACCAAGTCCAAAACGGGCAAACCGAGACTGCTGAAACACTGAGCCACTGCCCGGGGGGAGGGGTGGACCAAGGAGGAATCGAGAGCCTGAGGGGGGGGGGGGGTCTAAATAATTGATTTTTTTCAATCTTTTCGGCTCAAATAATTGAAAAAATCAATCTTTCGGCAGTTGAGCCCCTTACCTTGCTTACGCAAGGAGAAACTTCAGCTAGCTAAAGCTAGCTTTCGTGACATGCATGTCGCTTGCTTCCATTGTCAGCTGTCTCAAAGCAATGGTTTCCTCGCACGCTTGTCCTTGAAAACTCATATGTTGATCATGAATCTCTGTGGACCGACGATTGCTGCGAAACATCGACTTCTCGGCGTTCAGGTAATGACCCCGGAATCAGGCAACGTTGCGGAAAGTGGCACCCCCCATTAAAAAAGACCAGGGCAGCTTATAAATCTGGGCAATCTATCATAATCAAACTGAACATAAGCTAACCTTTATCCGTTGCCCAAAAGACCCACAAAAGGCTAAGGCCAACCAACGGAAACCCAAAAAGGGCAAACTAAACGGCCAGATCCGGTCGATTCGCTTTGGACAAGCGAACCCTTAAAGGAATTTTCATGGATGATGTGGTTTCCAATCAGACGTCTTTGCCCAAATATTCATGGGGTCGCCGTCTAAGTGACGAATTCCTAGGACATGGGCTTAAAATTGGGCTCGTCCCTGGGTTTAAGGGGGGGGAAGTTGAGTTTCCCCATACCCCTCCCAAATGAAGCATACTGGAAACGTTGAGCAAGCCACAAGTGAATCGGAATCGGAACTTCTGCTTTGTCTGCCTGGTGTCTGCAAGGCTCAGTCCATTTAGCTTGCCGAACGTTGCAAGAAACCGCAGACATGCACTGCCTAGACGACAAGGACATTGGAATGGACACCAAGATAAAAGCAACAGCTCCAAGTCGGTGTATCATGCCGTATCTTACACGGCCACATCCATCCAACAAGGGGAGGGCAATTTCTGATCCATGTCCCCACGCAAGAGTTTCGCCTGGGCTGCCATCCAGCCCTTTTCTCCGAAAAGAAGAAAAACATGTAGCTGAACAGCTGCAACTAGTGAAACCTATAGAATCCCATGACCAAAAAACTTCTGGATAGGGGACAAGCATTTCGGTTTCAACCATGGTTTCATTTCGTGGTGCGAGAGACGCGGATTGCGATCTCAACCATCCACTGGTTTGGTTGAGACACCTGTTGCTTTTTGAGTTCAGGGGAGACCAAATATGGGCCAGATTATCAACGCCACCCTCTCCAATGGCGGTCATCGATCAGGCGCCTCGATCCAGCTGGCGCAGGACTCCAGGAGAAGTTGCAGCGTATCAGACATCATCGGGCCTGGCGGAGCCCGAGCCCATGGTGTTCCGTGGGGCGGTTGAGTCATCATCCAACACCCGTTGTTTGGCTTGTTGTTTCTGGTTCAAATGTTGTTTTGTTTTCATGTTGTTGTTTGTCTTGTTTCTATTGTTGTTCCTTTTTTTTCAAATGGTCGTTGTTTGTTTTGAATAGTTCAAATGGTCGTTGTTGTTCTTCTTTTTAATGGTTACTTTTTTTGTTGTGTTTTTCTCCTCAAATGTTGTTTGTTGTTGTGTGTGTTTTGTTTAATGGTTGGTGTGTCTGCTTGTTGTGCTGTTGATTTTTATTTATTTATTTATTTTTGTGTGTTGTGTTGTTCTTTGTTTGTTCAATGGTTGTTCTTCTGTTTTCTTTTTAAGTTGTTGTGGTTCTTTGTTTGTATGTTTGTTTGTTTCAAGTGGTTGTTTTTCTTTGTTGTGTTTGTTTTGCAAATAATTGTTCTCGGTTGTGTTTTTTCAATCTGTTGTTGTTTTCTGTGTTTCTTCAGATGGTCTACCCAGAACCATGCTTAAGGAATTAAAACGGCAGCTGCACCCATTTATGGCAAGGGGACTATCCCTTGCTGACCTTCATCTACCCGCGTTTTGATTTTGGCTCATTTGCGCTTGTCGTTCTTAGAGTTGGCACCGTGTTTGGCTTTAGAGGGAAACCACGAGGAAACCGTTGCGCCATTTTGCGGGGTCCCCTAAAGCAAGACACACCCATTGTTTGCCATGGCAACTCCTACACCCATGCCTAGCCTAACCAACAATAGAATACCTATAATTTTGTAAGTTTCTCATCTGGGAGTCTTAAAATTGGGCACCCCTCCAAATTGTTGGTTTCCTTTTGGATTCCTTTTAACCCACCAAAAGGAGGTTCCGATTTTGAGACACTCCCATCTGTTGGTTCAAGGCTGGTCCTTACACCCACCATGTCTGGTCCTTACACCCATCCGCCCAAACATTTTTGCTTGGCGACGGGCAGTACAGAGAAGACGTCCTTTCTTACAGGCAAATATGCAAACCAGCTGTCCACAGGTTTTTGGGGCGTAAGATTCTGGACATCGCCGTTCACCAGGCCACATATTCAACATTTACGTGAAACGGAGATCCCAACAAGGTCGCAAAAACTTGCACTGCTCAAGTATAAAGAGCAGCGTCGATGTTGAACAAAGGCCTTGCATTTTACATCCAGGTCAAGGGTAGGCACAGTCATCTTTGGCATGCCACGGTATGTTTTGGTGATCACCCTCAGACCGACATCATTGTCTGCTGGTGGATTCTCAGTTGTGAGAATACACATCACGCATCCAATGCTTGCACAGTGTTGACAACCCAAGAAGAGGCCTCCACCCAATGTGGCCGTTTTCGGAGGGCCCATACATCTCCTTGGGTGGGGCTTCTCGACCCACCAAACAGAGAAGTAGTAACCTAGAGGTCAAAGAGCACTTCGGTTTTCTGAAGCTCGCCAATTGAATTTTTGATTGGGGGGTCGCACGCAACAAACACCCAACCGGGGTAGTTTTGAAGAGGACCCCGACCCAAACCACACTCGCATCCGCCTGACGACACCTGTTCTCGCGGTGGGCCTGCGAAGGACACATGACCCTTGATGACCCAAAACCGAATACATCACCCAAACGCCTTGATAATCAGAACCTGGTTGTGGGTCACTGCCACACCAAATTACCTCATGAACACAGGGCAATGATGCATGTAGCAGGTATTTAGCCTCTGAGAACATGACATGTAACATGGTGGCGCCCCCAAACTCAGCTTCTCTTTACGGGTGCTCGTTTAGATCAACCCCTACAAGTAAAGCATTGACAGGCCATGGGTTCATTGGCCCTTGGCCCGTTAGCACGCAAACAAACAACCAGATCCCACCGTCCCCTTGGGAGGTAGAGGTCTGAGGTTGGGCGATTTGTCTACAGGGGCTCGTCTTCTTTTCAGGGCCCCCCAAAATATAGTGGGACCCTGTTCTTTTGCTTCCCTTTGAACCAACCCCAAAAGGGTTCCCCCGAGAAACACACCCCCATTTGACAGTTTAAGCGCTGAAACAAACAAGGCTTGCATGGTCAATTTTCTACAAGCTTTCGCCAACTGGCCATACTCGACACCCAGGTTCGCCAGGTTCATTGCAGCTCCCTTTAAAGCCTTGCATGACCAACTTTATCTCATGAACGCGAGAGACAGAGGGCCCCTCGGAGGCGCCAGGAATCCATTTCGATGGGCCCAGCGCCCGAAAAAGCATGCCGGTGCCTGGGTTGACGTGGCTGTGGGTCAAAACCGTTTTGGGATCCCATTTTGGTTGGTAGGTGATTTCACCGCCCATTTTAGAACCTATTTTTAGTGGGGATTGGGATGTCCACTGGGGGTACGGGATTTTGACCCATGGCCACATGGATCAGTCCTAATCCGCAATCCTTTGTGGGATAGAAGGGAAACCCTGATTTGCCATAAGGAGATTTATGATTCATACTGAACAGCCCAGTCACTAGGACTTGGACGAGTCTCGTTGCTTGCCCCTGAGGCCAACCTGGGTCAAAGAGATTCTCTAAAGCTCCCCCCCATTGTGCTTCCTATTGGTGTCCTTTCAAAACCACTCAAAAGGGTACCCTCAAAAGAAGACACACAAAAGCCGATGGTCTCCGCACTGCTGCCTTTCACATGTCCACATGCTTGTACTTGTATTGAAGGAACGACTCAAGCCATCTTCTTAAAAGTCTGGGGGGCAATATAGGGGGCTGAACCTTAGAATGCTGTTGTGGGCTCTCGTAGAAACCAATTAAGTCAAGACCAAAGCAAACAAATCTTAATAATTGTTCGGCCTCCCTGCAAACCCATCACGCGCTCAGCTCGTTTGCATTCCATCGCCCGCCTGTCGGGTAAGCCGCAGACGCCTTATCGGCCTTCTCCATGATGTCTCGGATCTTGTTCATGATGCGAATGATCTCGTCGGGCGCGGCCTGGCGGAGGAAATGTGGGGTACCCTCCCCCAGACTGACATGGAAGCTCCCACAACCCCTTTGGAAGATTTGGTTTCATTTACAGAGGCCTTCTGGGAGCGTCATGTTAGTCTGAGGGAGTGTAGACGTGGCGAAGGGGCGAATGGGTGTGACCAAAAACATCAAGATGCATGGCAAATCGCAGGTTGTGTGCATTCTCTGCGACGCTTTCAAGCATACCACCCTCGCCATGTCTGCGGAGGGGCCATCTATCTAAGAACGGCAAATGTGTATGGCTCAAACAATCAATCGAAAGAACAAAGGCGTACGCGCAAAACAAGACATACCCACATGCAAGAGTAAAAATCTTATGAAAACGGATTTCCTTCCTCACAGTCGATTTTTATGGGACTTAACCTGTTAGATAGCTTTCCTCTGCCTTTCATGCTCTCTCCATCCATCTTTACTATTTCCCATCTCACAGAAAAACAGAAAAAGGATGAGATGGAAAAATGGCCCTTCTCTCATTCCTTTTTCCTCTCTAGACGAGCCGGAATGCTCATTAGGATTTACTGCAAGGGGGGAATTGAGCGAGCAAGGTCATCGTCGGCCTAAGTAGACAGCTCCAACGAGCATTGGCTTCACTTGCAAGGAACAAACAAACACAGCATGAAGGGTCACAAGCAACATAGCCAACGATGCAAATGATGCAGAGCCCAACCAAGGCTCGGACGAGAACTCGTCTTGAATTCAGTAGGGCTTCAAGCCAAGGGCTCTAAAGCAGCTTGACTGCCCTTCTGGATTCAAGATTCAGGGTTCTCTTTCATACAATAAGCTGGGGGTGCCCGCACCACCCCGCAGCCCTCGTAGAACCTCGTGGAACCCTCGTGGAACCCTGGTGGAACCCTGGTGGAACCCTGGTGGAAACCTCGTGGAACCTTTCCTAGGTCCACCCCGGAGCCTATCTGGGCTGAGACCACAAAGCTTTCAGCTGTTGGGGGAAAATTGAATCCAGTAGGGCTTCAATCTTAAAGAGCTCCGAAGCGGACTAAAGCCCATTTGGTTTCAAGATTCAAGATTCGACATTTGAATCTTGAATCCAGCAAGGGTCCAAATAGATCGCTTTAAAGTGCGCTAAAGTCTTTTTAAGCTCTAGGTTTGGGTTGAAGATTCAAACGCGAAGCCTCAAGCAAGCCTATTCCCAGGGCATCCAAAGACATGAGTAAACAGCGCTTCATACGTCTTTAGCGAGTAAACATGGTCTTGGGAAATTTCACGCTCATTCACGCTGCTCACGTGTTCACCTCTTGTTCTGCCACTGCACAGTGAGACATCACCACCGCATTTTGCGCCAGATTGGTATTGATATTATGTGCACAAGTTTATTGTTTGATGAGATAGGGCTAGGCTCACGTGTAGTCTAGTGTTGGAACCGGGCGTTTATCAGGCACCACGCCAGGATCATCCATTGGCTGGCTGGACACACCACAATTCTGAAAAGTAGACCGAGATTTGATGTCCGCCCTTGCCACGCACATTACACACAGCAAAATCCAATGTTCAATGCGCACATGCGAACTCTGTGGAAACATTGCGGCCAATATTTGCAGGCCCAAGGATCTAGTCCGCGCCACATAGCTGGGCAAACGGCTTTGTAGCCATGTATATGTTGCAGACCGAATCAGCAGGCTGTGGTATTTGGATCTAGGAAGGGGGGGGAAATTCACGTTCTTTTCTCTCACGGCTAAACTCCGTCTTTCACGGGTAAACTCCGTCGTTCACGCAAAATTCACGGCTGGCTCACGGTCCCTGATTTGTCAACGATATTGGTCAAGCATACACATATAAATCGATATTTTCTGCGATTCCCAGACAGCACAGCTAGCCTACTAGCATCGAATTACCACTAGACGGTAGCCCTGCCCATGACACGACCCAAGACACGTTGTTGCGCAGTGATGCTACGAGTTTGTTGTTGCGCGTGTGACTTCTTGCACGCGGATGCCATCGCATAAATCACGCAGCACAGCAGAGAAATACTTGCATGTGGCCAAGGAAATCTCGATCCATGGGGTCCATATCAGTGCATGCTGCATAGCTAGCATGAAGGCTTACCTTGTCACATGCATGGGAAATATGCAATATATGGAAATGTGCCATATATGACTGCAATGTACATTGTTTGGCATGCAGGCATGTATGTTGCATCACCGGACCTTTGATGGTGCTTTTAATTTCGAGCCCAGCTGACTTCACACGTGGGCCCAGCCAACAAATACCCCATTCACGGGCCATTCACGGGTAAGCACCGTCTTTTGGGTTAAACACCGTCTTTTATTGTAAAGACATTGTTTACTAGCGTCTTGGAAGTACCAGGTATTTATATATTTATCTATTTATCTATTGATCCATCTATCTATCTATCTATCTATCTATCTATCTATCCGTCCATCTATCTATCTATCAATCAACAAACAGACGGGACAGGACAGGACAGGAAAGGACAGGACAGGACAGACTGGACACACAGGACAGACAGGACAGGACAGACAGACACGGACAGGACAGACAGGACAGACAGACAGACAGATAGACAGCCAACAAGACAGACAGACAAACAGATAGATTGGTGGATAGATAGACAAATATGTCTTGTATATTTGCATGTGTCGTAACAAAGGCGACCCCCCCCCTCCCCACCCAAAAAACAAGCTTTTTCCTGGCTGCCTTTTGAAAAACCAAGAAAAAGGCACCCAACAAAAACATATGCACACAGAGACACACCCATGTTGCTTGGCTGCTTGGCTGCAACTGTTCGTTGAATCCGCATTGCCATCGCCTCCGACTTCGGACGCCCCAAGAGCGACAGTCCTAGCAATGGGTGTGAGTCCAAGCTGGTCGACTAAATGACGTTAAAGGGAAACCAAAAGAACCATCTGATCCGAATCTGGCAAAGATTAACTCCAACTCCTTGGTTTGTTTCACTTTCAAGCCACGTGAGGCAACCCAAAAGAGAAGCGACCATTCAATCCATTTCTCGTCAGATGATTCTAAAGGGGAAACCGAACGAAGCAACCCGTTGAAAAGCCCAACCCACACACACACACACAAACAAACAAACAGCGCAAAGCAACCTGCTCGACCTGGCCATGTGCACCAAGATGTTCAAGGCACGCGGGCCTGAAGACACGGGCCCCTGAAGACATCAAATACGTGCGGCTGTAGCTCACAACCCGGTCGAGGCTTTGCTTGCTCAACATGGCTATGACTTATAAATTGCTTCGATTTATTCAGGGGTATCCACGCCCAGTACCCATTGCCTCTATACAAGCAGGCGGGAATTCGACAGAGTGAGACGTACTTGGCATGCAAGAAATGTAAATTTTCATCACTGCTAGACGCAAAGTGGGGGGGGGGGCGCGGTTGCGGTGACGCCGCCTGGCATTTTGTGGTCAATGGATGTAAAGCGCGGCTGTCGGTCAAAATGCACTCACCTGGCCCCAAATTTGGCAGTTGTGTCGAGTCACTTTGCTTCGGGTGCGCTTGGCTAAAATCAAAGCCCCTGATAGCCCTTGGCGTGTGCTCCCAAGGAGGGCTCAAGTTAGTTGTGCAAACAGTTTTGAAGCAAGCCGATGGGTCCAGGGTGTTGTTTATTGGTTCCAGAGAAGACACCACTGGGTTCAAGTCTACCTTTGGGCAATTAATCAACAAGTGGAAACGGGCCAACACCACCGTTTTGACCCACCAGCAAGCCAAACAGGTCGGTTTCTGGATGTGTGATACGTGTCAAAATGAAGCCCGCTTGAAAAGGGTTGGCCTCATCTTTGGTTTCTGTGCATATTGGCTCCACTGTGTCTTGATGTTCATACTTTCACACCTGCTCCCATACTGTGGGTGAACGAAATCCTGCACCAGTTGGGATGGATGAAAGCCCAAATACTGGCATAAACCTACCAATTGGTGCCTGGCGTGGGTTTATCCATCCACACCCGAACATAATGGAACTACCCAATATAGCTGGACACATGGAGTGACGGCATGCGAGCTCCTTCCAGCCGCATTTCTGGCATCTCCTTCACTTCCTCGCCGGGCAGCAGGGCAAAAACCGTATCTCGTTTCTCTGAATCTAAGAAATTTGTGTAGCCTCAGAGTGTGTTTGTTGCTTTTGTTGTTGGGGAAAAAGTTGTGAACCTTCGAAGGATCCTGTTGTGGGGCGCTTCATGTGCCTGGTGGCTTCTGAATCTATGAACAACCCGATTGACGAGGACCCAGAAAAGTGTATGACTTCTGCAAGACTTTCCACTGGTTAGATTCTCCCGCTATCCCCCAATAGCATGCCCCTTTAAGTGTATGAGGTCTCATGTGTATACACCGCTGCAAATTGTCTGCTAACAAATTCACTCGGCAAAATTGCTGGGATCTGAAGAAAAATGAAAATGCAAAATACAGTGGGCCACTCCTGCTCCAAACAGTTTGGGGGCATCTGCGGGCTGCTCGCGACTTGCGCGGGACTTGCGCGAAAACTTGCTAATCTTTGGGCTATGGTGATGATGATAATGATGATGATGATAATGATGGTGGTGAATCACTGCGTCACTTGCGCTTTACTTGAGCAGCCCCATGTTTGACTTGCGCTGCCGCTCCTGCAACACACTCCTGCCCTTCAAATCACAAGCGGCGGTGCAGCTGATTTGATACGTCCAAAACAACTGGGATCATGCCTTACATTGACACACACAACGGGCTTTCATTTTCGGCTCAGATGCCCAGTGGCCATGGGAAAAAAAGGGGCACCCTTTCTTGGTTGGTTGAGTTTAAAGGGGAACCCTTACCCCCCCAAAAAATAATAATAATGGGTGCCACTGGGCAACTGAGATCCTTTCTCTGGGGCTATGGAGGTCGACCCCGGAAACCAGGCGACGTCAGGGTCAGTGAGTCCTTCTTCAGCTCTTCATGTGCAGCACGGCAGCGTGGCCAGTTCTGGCAGATCTCCTTGCAGCTTTCCGGCTCCACATGGGCGGCTCGCTCGTCTTTTAGGAATCGGAGCCCCCCAAAAGGGTAGGTTTCGTTTTGGCTTCCGTTTCAAGGACAGCCGGGTATCAGGATTGACAAGCTGGTCCGACGCAGGCGTTAGGCGTCCGACATCTGGTGACTTTGTGCCATGGCCACGTGAACTGCGACTGTTTCAACTAATCTGCAGGTGCCCCTCCTGCCGAATAGAGTCTTGCTAGCCAAACGTTCTTTCGAGCACACCAAAAAACTATTGATGTCCGTTCCGTCCATTGGAAGCGCATCAACTGCGGTTGTTCCAGCAAAATTGCATTCGACCCAGTTCTCATTCAAGCAGCTGTGACTGGGAGTAAAAACACCAGCAGCATGGTTGCATTGGCTGAAACAACTGTTATTCAGAACATTAAGCATGCAAGCATCTTTCCGCACGACACAATCGAAACAACCTACCCCTTGCAAACATGTCGACGCGACCCTGTCCTCGAACAGGGTGATCAGCATGGAGGTAGGGCCGGTGATAAGCGTGGTGCCGCTGTCCGGAATGAGGCCACAAACGGTCCTCAAGCACACGCAGCGGTGCGCTTTGGCAGGTCAAAGCTTTCAGTTGGGCAAATCTGTGGCATCTGGTTGAATGGTTGCACCACCAATTCCACCGATTCTAACTCGTATTGTGGTGCTTGCTGGTCTTTGTTACTTGTGTTGCCCATTCTTCTTGAATCAAGGAACTACCTGCCGTGGTTTTGTCCTTTGGCGGACATATGAGTATTTTGGGCCAAAACACAACTGTCGTGTACTATCCACTTTCACCCACGCGCTCGAGGGCAAGAAAACAAAAGAGCAATCTTGCTCGGCCAGCGCACAACTTTTAAATACTTTGAAGAAGAATAAGAGCTTAGGGCTTAGGGTTTAGGGTTTAGGGTTCGCCAAGTTTCAATTTCATCTTTCCAACAATCATGGAAGTGGACGATCGCGGAGCTGTAGAAGACCATCTTCCCGAAAAGTCTTCTTGACCATTTTCATGACTCTCGGAAAACGGGTACCCTGATCAAGAAAGCATTCTCCTTAGCGCCCAAACCTCATTGACTTTTGCTTCCACCAACACAAAGATTGATTTATATCTGAAATTCTTCCGGGCACATCTTTCCCACCCATCCTGGCTTGAGATAACCAGCACTCCCCAACTCAACTATTCCGGCTTGGAGTCAACAAAAGGTTGACCTGTTGGGTTCACCAGGGGAAAACCGGATCAGGTCTGTGGATGTCTCTGGTCGATTCACATTGCATGCACCTAAAGGGATTATAGCTCAGCTCCGCGCTCCATGCCTGCCGGCTTTTGGCTCGCGTCGCAGAAAGCGGCCTCCGGCTCGTGGGGCTAAATCGTCCAAACGGGGAAACAGGGGAAGAAGCAGGGGAAACTTTGGGCAAAAATCGGAGAAACGGAGAAAGCGCGGGGAAAAAGGTTCCTTCTTCCAGAAAATCGCAAAGAAGCCAAAAGAAATGGTTCTCACAGACAGAATGGGGAGTTGGTGTAACTGTGCTGAGACAATCCGTGGTCATCCGTTGTTTGCTCCCAGGCATGTTCCAAACCAATCGCAAGACCTGTCTGCAAGATGTGCTCAGAGCACAAGGCCAACCGGGCCCTTGCAAATCGAGCTAAACGTCGTCTGAAAACAAGCACATCTAACTGGATCAGGGCCAAAATCGAATTTCGTGCACGGCTCGCTCCAATCATGTGAGCATGTGAGTTGCATGCATCAGCTGTCGCAGTACTGGTGCAAGTTGTTCATCCAAGCAATGCAAGGCAAGCTTTGAGTTTACACATCTGCATGTCGGGCTGCAGGTGCGTCACAGGAAAAGCAAGGCATGATTTTGTAGGCGAAGCCCGCAGGCTGTTTGCACGGCACTGCCCTAAAGGGAACAAGGCGAACTCCGAACGAGTTTTCAACGTCCTGTCGAATGGAACCAGTCACTAGCTTTGCGGTGGCCCATCCAAGGCAGCCTTTTGTCGTAATATTGTGGAACAAATGTGAGTTCAACCACCAAATTCCCGAAGAAAACAGAAACAAGCAGATGTGCTTCCATGTTGATTCCAGCAAGCGGCCCTGCTAAGTTGAAGCACTGAACATACTAGCACTGGCCAGCCAGAACATCTATATAATGTAATGTTGACCCCATATTAATCAACCTCGTTTACTAATGGGGAGCGTCCCTGGGTTTAGTGAGAAATCATCGCTTTTAGAGGGGAACACCCGTATATTGATAAGCAAGGGTTGAGCATTCAGGGGAACCCTTTTGGAGCGTCATGTCATTACCAAGGAAAGCTGCTGGAGGAAGAAAAAAACGCAGGGCTGCCTCTGAGGGACAGAAGGAACGAATTGGAGCCCGAAATGAACTATTCCATATGGCATCCAAGCCAACAGTTATGGTTGGTAGAACCACTGCCTCGGGCTTTGATAGGTGTGAGTGCCATTCAAACTGGACAAGCCAAGCCAAGCGTTACACATGCTTAGCCGTGCAAGACTCGAGGACCAGGTCTTTGCACTGGCCACCCCGCCTTAATGGCCAGATTCTTGCCCACTGTGATGCCCCGAAAGTCGAGGCCCCAGTGGACTTTGCCTCAGGGAGCGCCCATGTGTTGGGTGGCTTTTCAGAAAACGAAAGAGAAGTTCCCGATTTCAAGAGGCCCAAGACGCATCGGGGAAGGCCATGGTTCTAAGATGGGAAAACGGGGTATCTACCCTTTAGATAGTGGCTACCCCAAACCACTACCTAGTGGGGAAACCATAGATTTATGCTCATAGTGGCTGTTATCTACATATATATCTATATAAGCTATATTCCATTGAACTCCTGGATGTAACGGTTGCACATGGGCTACATGTTGGTCCCCTCAGCCCATCTCTACATGGCCCCAACCAACTGCAAACCCTCCGCCGAACACAGTGTTTCAGCACGGCAAGCGCCATCAATGCTGGAGAGAGAGACCTGGCACATAACGTACTTTTGTATGAACAGCATTTGTTTGTCTTGGTTCAAGCGCACATTCACTGCAACATGCGGCGGGCTGCTTCGTTGTTTCTTTGAGGCCGAATGCGGGATAAGTTTCTATCATTTTCTTTAGGCTCTTCTGAACGCAACCCTTGGAGGGCTTACCATACGCATTGGCTGACAAATCAAAGCCGCTCAAACAAGAGTTGATCTGGGTATATAATATTTTTTCACCAATCCAACATCCAGACAACCGATAAAGCGAGGACATCGGTCGTAAACCAATTCCTGGCAGAGCTCGCGAATGGATTTGCCCCGTTTCCCAATTTCACTTCTTGTCTGCTCCTTTGCTTCCTCACATGAAAGAAATTGCGCCAGCCACCTTCACCCTGGAACATGTCTCTGATGATTTCTTAAGCCTCGGCGCCAACAGTACTTTCCAGAATCCCAGTAATAAAAGAGCTGTCTGTTGCTCTGACCCAGCAGCTTCAGTGTGGTGCCTGCACAGCCAGGGTTCTGGAATCGCTGAAGTTCCAGTTCTCTCTTTCTCCAGCACACCCAGCACAAATCCGTCAACCATGAACGTGGTACATGCCATTGATGTCCTGTGCCCAATCTAGCCGATCAACTGACAAATTGTTATAAACACAGCTTTTACCGGATGATGACTTAATTTGCTTTCACGATTTCATGAAATCCGACAACAACAACATACAATCAACCAGACCCTTATTGTCCTTACGCACTACCGGTCGAGTGCAGTCATATATCTAGTATCTTTCATGGACCACTGCGAATAAAGGTACGCACCAAGATTTCAAGCCGTCCTGACCACTACTGTGATGGTCCAAATTCCTCCGGGTGCATTAGAATGATTCACTAAGCACCCAAAAGGCTCACAAAAAAATGCTTGGCCCCCAACACGCCGTCAAGATTCTGCTTCACCTTTAGCCAACCTCAAAATGTAGAGGAAACAAATCTCCAAAGAACCCCCGACAGGAAGATCGCTTCGGGTATGTCTCAAAATGGGATACATAACCTCAAACATGGCTTTCGGCTTCCTTTTTTGGTTTCCCTCGAAAACCAACTGACAAATGCCTTCGGTTTCCTTTTCGGTTTCCCCTAAAAACCCAAAATGGATAAACACAGAAGACACCCCACATCGAAGGCTTCGGTTCTCGGTGCGGCGCCCACAGATTTCAGCATTGTGGGCTGCTGTGGCGTGTGCACGCCCAAAACGCCGTCTTCCTGGGCAGCTAGACGCCCAAAATGGTGGTTTTGTTGGTTTTCCTCCAAGCCAACGCTACCATCAAAAATGACATCCCCAAACTACGGGAAATACTGGACGGGCCTTGTTTCCTTGGCAATACTTAGGGCATTCACCACATAAACGTGATCCCCTAGACGATCATTCTGACTTGGGAGAGATAAATGTTATACCAATTGTGTTCTTGCCTGACGCAGTCATGGCACCGAGTATCTCGTGGGTTCGGAATGTCTCCTCGCCAGCACTTTTAAGCTGCAAGCTACTTCGGGGTGATGAGTTGCGGGTGGGCCAAACATGGAACAACGCAAAACCATCATTGCTTGTTAAACATGCTGCGCATGTTTGTTGGTTTCCCGGAGAAAAAGAACTGGCGCGGGTCTGGGTGCGGAAGCCAATCTTACTCAGCCAAGAACATGGCACCTCCGCTCTGAGCATATAATAAACACTGCCACATTCGCACTTCTCGTCTGGCAGACCAGCGTACTGCGTAGTGCATGACATGTCAAACTTTGCAAACAATCATTGCATGATGATGGCCTGCTTCTGTATAGTATGTGCCATTTAGCTACTATTTAAGACATCGTTTTAGTGGATTGTCATGGAGGCAACCAGAACCAACACATGCGTTCAATGCCGTTGCTGGTGACACAGTGAATGACTGCAATGGGACCCTCTTTGGTGGGTTTTACCCATATGGCCATGGGTCAAAATCCAAATCGTACCCGCAGTCAACATCCGATTCAATCCCCACTAAAATAGGTTCTAAAATGGGTGGTGAAATCACCTACCCACCAAAATGGGATCTCAAAACGGCGTTGACAAGCACGGCTATATCCGGATGGTTGGGATCGCCCCTTGAACAGCGCAGCTTTTCACCAGCCCCAAGCATTCAGCTCCTGAAGCCCAAGAAACGCCTGAAGCTACATGGATATCCAAGCACCCAGTCTGAATGGGAAAGGGAGCCCCTTGGTCGCTTAATCATGTAGGTATAAATAGTTTCATGTGTTTGCTTGTTTCAAAAAATAATAGTAAGCAATAACAACAAACACAATCAAAACTATGTTGTTCAGCCCACAAAACAACAAAATGCCAACGGGTGCCACGGAACACCTGGGAAAGCACGAACCCTTTCTCTCACAACGCGTTCAAATGCTGGCTGGAACCAATGCTCACGCTCCAACTCCGCTCCAGGCGCCATGTGAACTTCGCTGGGGCGACCCCGTTTGGCAGGGCAAGGGACACGCGCTTGGAACAAAAACAATTCGGCGTCCAAGCACAGCTTCAGGCATCCAAGACTCAAGCTTGGCGGTCATTTGGCCAGGGCTGCAGACTCAAATGGATGAAACTCATGGATTTAGAGAAAGATCAAGGGTTTGTCCCCCTTCGTGCGGGTCCATGTGAAAAATGGGGAGGACTGCTCAGATGAAGCCTGCTCTCAAGGGGCATGACAAATAGTTGACACTTTGGGGAACATAGCAAACCTCTCAGTTGAAATATGACGTTTTGTCAACCACTATACAAACTGGAATGGAAATCAACAGCAGGGGTGTCTCACCACCCAGCAGAACAAAGAACACCGTCGGTTGATGCTGGAACGCACTACCCAAACCAAATCTGCCTCAAATATTACTGTTCATTGTCCATATGTAGTGAACCTTCAAATGCGCTGGGGTATGTGCGAAAATCGGAGACCCCCATAAAATCGTGTTCCGCCTCTCAGTTTCCCTTCCATCGGAAAAGAAATCGGTGTGGACTCGCTCGCTGGGCTTCCCGGCCATGCGATTGAAGCACATGGAGAACCGCTGCACGCGGGCTGCCTCGAAGAAGCCTCGATCTGCTCATGCGAGTCATGCGAGTGTGCCTTGTTTGGACCCCGCAACGGTTACCTCTTGGTTTCCGGTTGAAAAAAACAACAAACAAAAAAGGGGTACCCTCCAAAAAACAGACGAGAGCCACCCATGTTGAGTTGATATCGGATAACATCAACGATCAGCTCCCACTTCTAGCACAGACCAAGAGAAGCGCAAAGTTCCGATGTTCCGATCAGTGCCCCTCTTTGCGGTTGAAAAGCCGGTTGAACGGCCATGAAAGTTTTCTTTCCAAAATGGTATAGCCCAAATGATATCGTTGCGATAAACTGGCAAAGGAGTCCAACCCAACTGAAATTCGTGGAAGGTATCTATTTACAGCCAGTCACTGACATAATGGGACACGTATGCCCCGTGTTGCATTGCATGTGCCTTCCTTGGAAAGGGAAACTGACCGTTTAGCCCTTCCGAAAAAACGGATCCACACCAGGGTGATTTGGGTAGATGGCACAATTTCCTTCTCAGTTGCCCAAAGGACCCAGAAAGAAAAGGTGTACGTTTGGGGCCATGACGAACGGACCAAACAGGGCAAACTGAGATATGGTCACATCCGGTCGATTCGCTTGCAAGTGGCTCTGGGTCAAAAATGCGTACCCAAAATGGAACCCTGGGAAATGGAACCAAAGACTAAAACCTGCGGTTTCCTGGTGATTGTATTTTGACCCATACCCAAGTGAGCCTTTTGGCTCAGGCGCCCAGAAAACCGTGCCATCCCCCGACTGACTCTCCGCTCCTGGCACCGCAACGCCGCGGGCGGAGGTCATCTCCTCGGCTCATTGGCCCCTTCTCACGGACAGCCGGGCAATGCCTCTGGCACAACCCTTGGTGTGTATGTCTGCATATATATATATATACTATATATATATACACATCTGTATCTATGTATGCAATGTAGTGGTTTGCAATGTAACGTAGTGTGATGTAACGTAACGTAACATATGTATGCATGTATGTGTGTAAGCATGTACGTATTGTGTTGTATTGTATTGTATTGCATTGTATTGTATTGTATTGCAATGTAATGTAATGCGTTGTCGTGCATTGCCTGCATGTCTGTCTGTGTATGTATGCATTATGTAAGTACGTATATCTCTGTGTGTGTGTGTGTCTCTGTATGCATACATGTATGTATGTATGTATGTATGGATAGATGGATGGATGTATGTAAGTATGAATCTGGGTATGTATGCATGCAGTTGTGTGTCTGTCTGTCTGTCTGCCTGCCTCCCTCCCTGCCTGCCTGCCTGCCTGCCTGCATGCCTGTGTATGTATGTCTGTATGTATGTATGTCTGTATGTCTGTATGTCTGTATGTCTGTATGTCTGAATGTCAGTATGTCAGTATGTCTGAATGTCCGTATGTCTGTATGTATGTAAGAGTATGCATGCATGTATGTGTGTAACTATGTATGTATGTATGTATGTATGTATGTATGTATGTATGTATGTATGTATGTATGCATGATTGCATGCACGCATTGCATCTACGCACGCATCGGTGTCTACATGTTTGAGTATGTCATCTAGTTTTCAAATATATATGTATATAGTTCTATGTTGATGTATACATATACATAGGTGTGTACTTATACAGATTACTGCTCATTGGTCTTGCCATGATCACAATGTTACCATCATGCAGCAAGGCTGCTTTTGCCGCTAGATAGAAGAAGTAACAGTCAGAAGTATATTGTCTACGCGCGGGGTACGTGCTTGAGGCTACAGACGGAACGTGCTTGGCCGTAGGACATGGGACAACTGGCTGGGCGGCCTGATTCTTGCGGGAAACTCGGGTAGTAACAGCAAACTACCAAAGGCTTTGACCAGGGATTGATAGTAGTTGTGCCTCTTACTCCGCGACCGATGAGCCGCAAACCAAGCACGCGTGTACTATTGAGATATGTGGCAACCAATATGATGTACAGCAAAGTCTGGCATAGGCAATGATGTCAAAGGCATCGAATCACTGATCATTTCATTTCAGCTGGTGAAATGTTGGTCTTTGCACGTATTGCCAAGTGAAGCGCAGATTCCTATTGGAGCTTCGCGCAAGACGAGATGAGATCTGCTAAGAAAACCTGTTCCAACAAACAAAAAGCCGTCTTGGCGAGGAGGGGGGGTTGGAGGAAGGGGGCGAACCTGTATTTCTTCCTACATGTTTCGAAGTAGACATCACCCGGAATGATCGAATATCTATTTGTTGGGAGCTGCGCGAGTTGTTTCTGTTGGAGCTACTTGCGACGAGCAGCAACATACTTTCCGTCCTCCTTCGGCTGGGGCCGCCCCAAGCCGAGAATGCCCTCAAAAGGCCCTGGCCGAGGAGTGCGGGCGCACACGCCCAAGGCACAGACGCATCCGTAGCAACTGCATGCTAGCAGGGGTTCCAACTTCTAATAAAGAAGGGAACGTGATTTGCGAGATTGATGACTGGGTGCTAGGGGGCATGCAGTTTCTGGTGCGTGTGCGGTGCGGGGCGCATTTTTGGTAGATTGATGGCAGGGTGCTACGGGCCATGCATTTTGGGGTGCTGATGCAGGTGCTGCTTTGGGTTGTTGCTTGCGGTGCTGTTTGAGGTGGTGGTGACGGTGCGGGCGCGGCATTGCCTGCGGGCGCATGTTTGCAGGATTGACAGCCGGGTGCTCGGTGTTTGGGGCGCTATTCGGGTTGTTGTATGAAGGGGATGGCACAGGCGCGCTTTTGCGATGGACGGCAGGGCTCGGGGGCAAGCAATGTGGGGGGCTGCTGCAAGTGCAGTTTTTCGCTATCTGGGGTCTATGCTGGTGTATGTTTTCATGTAAATCGCTTTTGGTTTCCATTTGGGAAAGCTAACACATATACGGCCTATGCGCTATTTCGCACTTAGGGATATGCCTGTGGCCAAATGAGGCATGACATTTCTCGTGAGCTCTTCATGCAGCTCATTTAAGTGACAGGATCCGTTCCGCAGAATTGAATTGTGACTGGAGAAATCCTGGTGCTAAATGGGTGTGGCCTTTATTAGGGGACCCTCAAAAACGAGTGGTTGCCTTGTGGCTTCCTTTGAAACGAAACCAAAAAAGGGTACCCTCAAATTAAGCCACACCCACATGTCCAATGCAACATAGATGGCTGCCTTGACAGAAAGTTAACAGGGACACCTCAGAGTCAAAATGCCACTTTACGACCACATGTCTGCACAAGATGGACAACCTCTTTCATGGAGAAGGTGTTTGCAAAAAACATAAATATGAGGAACCCACCTCTAGCCCGATTCGTTATAAACTCAAGAGCCACTTGCTGATGCCTCAAACTCAGGGGTGGTTCAGCTACAAGACAAGTCACTTTTCGACTGAACCAGCAGACTGCCCGTCAAATCCCACCGAACGGTCCCGCTCGCCCCAACAAGAAGCCTGTGGCAGATAACATTGCCAGCTAGTAAGTTGGCATCCAACTTAGATGTTCAGAGAAATTCAGAAGACTCCCAGCGCTGACAAGACTTAAATGGCGATGACCTTTCAACCACTGGTGTTGTAAAACAAAAAACAAAAACACACGCACAAAAACGTCAACTCCCCCTGGTATCACCGAACATAGGTCTCAAACCCCCCATGAGTCCCCAAGCTTCCACATGGCCCATCCATCGCACCTGGCAGGTTCAGGGAATGGTCCACCTCAGCCGCGCGGAAATTGGGAGAAACTCCCCGCGCCCCGGTTGTGGGAGCTGCTTTGAGAGTTGAAAAGATGGCTTGGTTCTCAGGGAATGAGGGAATGACTATGGTTTTCTTTCAGGAAATCCCTCACCCTGGTAATTTCTGGCTGAGCACCAGCAAGTTGGAGCTTGAATCAGTCCAAGCACCAGCAAGTTTTTTCACAGCGGAGAATCCGTCTGATTCTTGGACTGTCGCAGCCAGCTGAGGTATCAAAGTCTCGGGAAGGAGTTCTGCACTGGGAGCTGTCCTCTAGCAATGTATACTTGACATTTTGTGGGCTGAGTTGGAGGCCAAAGGAAAGATCTGAATCCTGGAAGACCGCAGAGTCTGATCCCGCCACTTCGAAGTATCAGTGGCAGACGCCCGGAGGAATTTTCAGTTGACCCATCAGCAGCCTGTCTGGCCACTCTCATTCTAGCACCTGACACGGCCAAGGTGCTGATCTGGCCAGTTTAAGGATTGCTGAACAAACCGCCTTCAATCCTGATGATTGGTGAGCATTCCCTGTTGCTCACCTCTGGCCGACCCAACAAGGCTCACCCTGCTTGTCCCTCAAAACATCAAACTGGCAGGCCGTACACATCCAAGAGAATGAGCCCTCCTTCATCCATGCAGGCTCAAGCACCCACGTTTAGGTTCTGCCATAGGGCAACCTCCAAGAAAAGGAACAAACAAACGATGCCCGTCTCTCAAATGCTCAAAGCACCTGGCTTAAAGCTAGGCCTCTGGAGTCCCGAAGCTCGGAGGTCGCACACCAAATGACCACCTCCCGGTTTTTTTGGGGGGGGAGGGGGGAGGTGGCGCACAGAGCTTGTAAACTGAGTATCACGCTTTGTCAGGCCAACAGCAAAAAACAGTAGAAAAAAGGATGGCTCAGGCATCACTATCTTCTGGGATGAGGTAAACGTTTGTGTTCGCGTGTCAAAATGTATCAAATCATGGTCGATAACGATTAATCATTTCGTGGGAAATACAAACTAATTCAAACAGGTGTCCCAAGCATATTCCCAATTATGATGATGAATCAGGGTAGTAGGAAATACTGAAAATTCTGTGTGGTGGGGAAAATATGCCTGCCGTGTGGGGGTAGAAAAAAACATGATCCTCAGCCCTAGCAATATGAGAGCAATACCAAAGCAATACTAAACTAATACCAGCTGAGTACTAAACCTATACAGTACTAACTAGGACTAAGCTAGTACTAAGCAATACTACGGCTATGCTATCTAATGCTAAACCAATCCTAGACCAAAAAGCCAACTGAGGCCCCAAACAGCCAAATTCTTATGTCATCCTATACTAAAACAGCTTCCCAAACAGAATCTAAGATGGGCCGGATAGTGAACAATGATGTATGTTTGAGGGTGAGACATATAGAGAGAGCAAAAATATCCAGTCGGTACCCAGGAATATAACCCAATACTAGAAAAATATCTGGTCGCTACCCAGGAATATAACCCAATACTAGACAAACTCTAAACAGTATAGGGCCCGCTCAAAGGAATACTAAACCAATTCTAAGCCAGCACTAAGGAGTACTTACTGATAGACTACTTCAGCACAGTATGCTTTTAGGCTAAAACTTTTAGGTTCTTCTCTGTTGAACCACGCCCCCAATTTGTTTGGGAGTGGAGGGTGCCTAATTATAAATCACACCCAATAATTGTCAAGCAGCTAGCCTTTGCAACAGTATACTCTCCAGCAAGGCTGGAACTGGACTACATGCTGTGCAGGCCGTGCAAGAGAATCATGCCCAACACGCCGCGCGGCTGCTCCTCTTTCTTCTGCCGGGTGCAGAATCTAAGTTGTGTCACAACCATGACAGCCAAGCAATTACGCACCCAGCACCCATGGGAGCTATATACAGTATAGATTTGGTCCGCGCTTAGTGACGGTCCAACCTTCGGTTCGGACGTGACCAAAAGTAAGGGCTAGTTGTCAGCCAGCCGCGAAAAGGCAGTGGTGCAGTTTGTTCTTTCACCACGTGCTCGCAAGATCTCGCAAGCCATTCGAGCAAAGGCTGAATTGGCAACGTCGCAAATTCGGCCGCACCTAATCCATCATAAGCTGCAAGGCTTGAGTGGGAAGAGAATCTATACTCTTCATCATCTGGATGGTCATAGTTCCCTCTTTGACCTTCGCTTGGGGCACAACGCCACGCATATGGCTCTAGCAGTCAAGAAGGAGCTAGTGCCATCAAGCAGCGACATGGGCAACAAACAACAAACAACCTGCTAAGTGTTGTGTGGTTCTAGCAAATGCACGGTCGCCACACTGCTCAGATTTGTTACCCCTGACAAGAAGAACAAAACAAAACTTTCAACAAATGCTCCCATGGTTGCAAGAAAAATAACACGGCAAGTCAATGTGCAGCTCAGGCTCCGCCCCTTTGCTCAAATCGAAGATCTGCCAACTCGCAATGCCAAGCCAGGAAAAAGCGCCGATGCGCAGAAGGTAGGCCTCGCCTCTCGACCGAAGGCAAAGCGGCAGAAAGCTGGGCCCCCAAGCAATCTGTGCCATCAACTGGGCTCCATCAAATGGGTTCTGGGATGCTGCACACATGATTGTGCTTTGCTGCAAGCTGGAATCCTGGAACCCTTTTGTTGAAGCGACTAAACGGGCCCCTTGACAATCGCCAACTAGAAGTCGCGTGAAGAGGAAGGGAGCCTGATCCATCACCATTCTCAAACCCGTGCGATTGCCACACTGGGAGTGGACAAGTCCAACCACATCCCGCTTCACTGTCTTCAGCCTCAACAGCCACATGCTTCGGAGTTGTAAAGTTTCATTGGAGACCCTCATGACAGCAATTAGGGTGGTTCGTCATGTCCAACCGCTTGGGAGGCAGCTCACTGTCTTCCATTTGCCTAAGTTGTTGGAAAATAGAAATATGTATCTAGTAGTGATAGGCTTTCCTCATAAACAACATCTCCTTCATAGCCAGTTTGCCCTGCTCAACCAGAGGTCTCGGTCCGGCCTTCCTCGAACTTGCACTCCTGGCGAGTTGGGACACTACATGTGCCAGTGTTTTTTGCGAGGTTCTCCGGTACCCCGTCAGACCGCTTGTTGCTTTTGAGGGAAAACCACGAGGCAGACCATCATTTTGGGAGGTCGAAAAAGGACACAACCATGATTACCCATGTGCGCGTGATTTTGGAGCAAACCAGAAGCAAGGCCGCTGCTTGGGCCCCAAAATGGGGACAAACACGAACAAAGAAAGCAAAGAAATACAACAAAAATCATCCAAGCAAATAAACAACCACACAACATAAAGCAAAAAAAACAAAAACAAAAACTGGCAAACAAGCAAGCAACCAACCAACAAAGCAGGCAAACAATCAATCAAACAAGCAAACAAACACAAACAAAAACAATCAAACAAACAAAGAAACAAACGAACGAACGAACGAACGAACAAAAAAATACAAACAAGCGAGCGAGCGAGCGAACAAACACGCAGGCAAACAAACAATCAAGCAAGCAAACAAACAAACAAATGCACAAACAAACAAAAAACACACAAACAAACAAGCAAACAAACCGAGAAGCAAGTAAATAAACAACCCAAGCAACCAAGCGCAAACCAGTGCAAACAAGCGCAAGCAAGCAAGCGCCAGCAAGCGCAAGCCAGCAAGCGTAGGCAAAGCAAAACAAGCCTTTGCAAAGCAAAGCAGGCGCTCGCAAGGCAAAGCACGGCAAAGCAAGACAAATCAAATCAAAGCAAACAAGAAAACACACACACACACACAGACAAACAGACATCCAACACGAGCCCCTCTTTGAAAACTGCATATCCCTCCAAACTGAGGCCCACTCTTCGTGGCGGTTTAAAGGGAAGCTGTCCCTTGTCCTGGTTTCCAGGCCCACCTGCCCCGCAAATTCCCCACCCAGACCGATCCCCTCCATTTTGAATGTGCAGGGCTTCAGAAAAAGTCCCAACTTTCTATTTCCGCTATAGTAGTCTTCGCAAAAGTGACTCAGCCAGATCCTTCCCCCCTCCTCTTGGATGGCCGGCATCACCTTCTTTGCGTAGAGCTCATCCCGGAAGTCCCCGCACAGCCAGCCGCTGAGCTTGAGGAACTGCCAGTCGTCCACATGGCTGGAGCTCAAACTCAGCATGTCCTGCCAGTCTGTTTGGTTTTGCGCAGAGCTGAACTGCGCAGAGCCAGCTTGCCCACTGCAGCTTGCGCAGCGCAACTTGCCCAGTGCCGTTTTGCACTGAGTCAGTTGCACAGAGCCATTTCGACACAGCCAACTTGCACAGAGCTGCTTGCGCAAAGCCGTCTTCGCAGAGAGACTTGCGCAGAGCAACTTTCGCAGATCTACTTGCGCAGAGCGACTTGCGCACAGGCATCGGCAGCTATGTAAGTTAAGGGAAACTTACAGAGAAATTTCCTAACGCGCGTGAGACAACTGGGTGATATTTTTGTGATGTCTGGGCCAACCCTTGCGGGGATCGGCGTGGCGGCTGTCAAAAAGCTGAGGACGTTTCGACTTTGCGATTCCCGGATCGGCTGTCCAAGCAAACGTTGTTGCTTTTGCCGCGTGCTAGCTGGTCTTTGGAAGTGCTAGCGGAGAGGAACGCACAGACTTGCAGAGCAACTTACTCAGAGCACTTGCGCACGACTCTGGCGCACAAACTCTTGCGCGGAGTAACTTGCACGGCCAAAGGCGCGCTGAGCTGTCGCCGCAGAGCAACTTGCGCAGAGCGACTTGCACAGAACAGTCTTGCGCAGATAATTTTGCAGACACACGCAGAGCAACTTGCGCAGAGCATTTTCGCAGTGCAACTTACTCAAAGCACTTGTGAGAGCACCTGCAAAGAGCAATCTGCAAAGAATATCTCGCAGGCAGAATTTGCGCGGGGCAACTTGCATAAAGCAACATGCGCAGGGCGCTCGAAGAGATCAACGCGCAGACGTGAGCAGAGCAACTGCGCAGAGCACAAGTGCCTAGCAGCG